CTTGGTAGGCCATTATGGTTCTAGTGAGTGATATGTTGACAAGTTGAGAGAAACTGGACATTCAGCATACCTTTTTTCAATGCAGCTGAAACGGGTCAACTCATGACGTCTTTCCGGGACTTCGAGACTGATAAGGGCTGGAATTGGACGCGGGCTAAGGGGCCACATGTAAATACGAATGTGAACGACTACCTGCGATTCGAACCTCTGGGCGCGGATACCTATGAGCTGCTCGTTTTGGATGGCTGGCCCCACAAGGCAAGTATATATACTACCATTGGATTATATTGTCTTAATTGCCGGCGAAGGTTATGAGCAACCGACCCGATGGGTCGTACGCAACGAAAGATCTATTTATCAAGCATCCCACCATCCCCGACGCATACAAGTTCATGGGGCGAATCGACGACACCCTGGTCATGGTATGGATATTAAACCAAATCAAGATGATTTTTATTTAACAACATGCCCAGGTTAACGGCGAGAAGACGAATCCTGTCCCGATGGAGCTCACACTTCGTTCATCTCCCTATATTGCGGATGCCATCATCTTCGGTGCCGGCCGCATTCAAATTGGAGCTCTGATTCTTCCAACCGAAATTGCAAAAGACTGCTCTGCTTCAGAGCTCGCTAAGCTTGTCGCGCCTATCGTCGCCCTTGCCAATGCTGAGGCTCCCTCGCATTCGCAGCTTGCGTCGGAAGCACTTGTATTTCTCCCTCATGGCACAGTGATTCCTCGTGCTGATAAGGGCAGTATCATCAGACCACGGGTGTACAAGGAGTTCGAAGGCATCATCAATGAGGTCTATAAACGACTAGAGGGTGACATCGACGAGGATGGGAAGAGACGACTGACCGATGAGGCAGATGCTAGGACGGCCATTAGAGATGTAATCGGCAAGACGGTCGATCGACCTATCGACAGCCTAGAAGATGATACTGACCTCTTCGATTTCGGGTTAGACTCGTTGCAGTCTAGCAGAATACGAAATACCATTCAGAGAGTCAGCTCAAACGTTCTGCTGATTACTGCTTGTAAGCTGAATAACGGTGTAGGAGATCTACCTAGATGGCAAGAAGCTGGCCCCCAACACTGTTTTCGAACATCCTTCCATCACGCAGTACGTTTATCCCTTGCATGTGCATGACGCTGTATATAGCCTTGGCTAAGGTAAACATACAGGATCGCTCGACTCCTGATTGCAATGTCCTATGGCAATGAAGGTGCTCTAGCACCACGAAGCTCGCTCGAGATCATGCTGGAACTTGTTAAGAAGTACAGCTCTTTCGCTTATACGCAAAAGGCTCATGCCAACGGAACAAATGGAACCGCAAGCAACTCAGTTACCCCTCGCGTTGTAAGCTCCCTGTTGCACTTCCCAAAAAATCTACGCCTGATTGCGATATTGATGTAGGTTGTGTTGACTGGCGCAACTGGGTCTCTGGGAGCATATATTCTGGATGAACTGCTTTCGGACCCTTCTGTGGCCACTGTTTATTGTCTGTGCAGAGCAGAGGACGATGCAGATGCGTCCAGTCGCATAGCAGCTTCCATGAAGACAAGGAAGCTATTATCTCGCTATGAGCAGGTTCAAACGCGTGTCAAAGCTCTCGCTTCCGACCTGTCTACCGACAAGCTTGGACTTCAGACAGACATGTACAACGAGATCGCAACACGGGCAACGCTGATCATTCATGTAAGCATCAAAGACACTGCTTGGTTCATTCTCGTCAATCTTGTGTGCAGAACGCTTGGGCGGTCAACTTCAACCTTGGCATTTCTAGGCAAGTCCACCTCGATTCGATGAATATTGACTAACAGAGCAATAGCTTCGAACCACACATCCGTGGAGCCGTCAATTTAATTAATCTCGCACTGGCATCGCCTCATCCCCGACCAGCAGACTTTTACTTCGCATCTTCGATCAGTGCCGTCGCAGCTTGGCATGGACCAGACTCAATCCCAGAAGCCATTACGGACGATCCCTCTGTCGCTCAGGGGTTGGGCTAGTGAGCACCTCGTGCCTCGCGCAGTTGACGCTCAGATTTCTGACTTCAGTTAGTGCGCAATCGAAGTGGATCACTGAGAAGCTCTGTCAAGTTGCCTCTCAGCAGACACCTATTCGGGCGGGCGTGCTACGTGAGACATGTTCACCATAGGAGAAATAGTCACTGAAGCGCGTGCAGGAATTGGCCAAATGGTGGGAGACTCTCAGAATGGCGTGTGGAACGAGACGGAGGCTATTTCACTCATCATCAAGGTATGAAAAACCGTTATCGATGATATATGTGATTGTTATATTCCGTGGCAGTGCACAGATACAATCGGAATTCTTCCCAATCTCGACGAGTCAGTTTCGTGGCTCCCAGTGGACTACGCAGCAAAGGCTATCATCGACCTGGTCAATGTTCCCCATCAACGTTTGCCCTTGGGAGAGTGCCCTGTTTGGAACGTGATTCACCCAAAGCTTGTGCCGTGGACGTCCGTCCTCTCGTCTCTCCAACACACCGGCCTGAAATTTAAAGCCCTCCCGAGGCACGAGTGGATCAAGGCTTTGCGCGCTAGCCCTATTGATGAAGTGAATAACCCGAGCCGGAAGCTGTTGACATTTTTTGAGAACAAATACGGACAAGAGGAACTGGCTACGCGGTACCCATTGCTGACAGTGCAAAGTGAGAAAGCAAGTAAGAGTCTCAGGAGTGCACCTATCGCTGATGATGGACTGGTGGGGAAGTGGGTAGCTGCTTGGAGAGAGACAGGTTTTTTGGCTTGACACTCGGAGCAGTTGGTTCAAGCTCGTGAATGCTAGTAATGAACCTCCTTATAAACATCTCACCCTTGCATTACTGATATACCACGAGTCGTCAGTTGATCATCAGATAGAGGTTTAGATATTGTACGCTTAGATACGTACTTAGGGGTTTTGAAGTAAACATGGCTGCATATTGTGGCTGTACCATCACAGATTTGGGAAAAATTCACTGCATTATATGTCAATATATCTTATGATAATACAATATGGGTACTGGCGACTATGCGCCCAAAACCCCGACTCCTTTCTTGGTTCAGCGTCCAGCCCAAGCTGATGTGGAACTAGTAACATACAATGGGTATAGTATCATACAAACAATTGACTTGCAAAGTACTTAGGTCTCCATCAGGAAACTACCAATTTCGTGACAGTTCCCACATCATTGACAAATTGGCACAAGGACACACAAGGCCTTATTATACATAGGGCTGTTCACCGTACCGTATATGGTATACAGCCGTATAGTGTATGTCCATCAACCGTACAAAGTCCCAACATAACCGTATATTACGGTTGGAAAAAAAAATGCTGACGGTACGGTACGGCCGTAATACGGTATGGTACGACATACAGAACAAGCCTTGGACGGCGTCAGACTCCACCCTCGAAGCGCAGGCGCGGTTACGCAAACCATATGATGAGCCTCCTGCATTGGGTCAATGCCTCGCGTGCCAATCTTCATAAATTCCCTGAGGCATGTGGTGCACCGCCAGAAGAGGTAGCAGATGCTGGTGAAGGACTATTCTCAGTGAGGAGTTCTACTGATCAGCTGGCCCTGGAGGCAAAGGGGGCGGTGTAGAGACTCGCACCTCTCAATGCCGGACATATGGCCCCATGAACCACATATTCCTTACATATTCCAGCTCTTATCCGAAGGATCAGTCATACGCGCTCCCCCGCGCGCGCCCTATGTACGCGCCTCGTTTGCACGCCTTATACGCACTCGCACGTTTCCATGTGCATCCGTGCGCCTCCCCTTAGGTCTTCTCGCACCTACCCGTCCGTCCGTCCGTCCTATGTCCTCACTGATTTACTGGTGCGTTATTCTTATCTCTTTCACTGAATTGACGTGCACTCGGTCCGATCCCCGCGCTTACATACAGAAAGTCTATCTTAGACTTTAGATTATATTTAAAGTTGATATGGTTACTCGGTTCGGTACCGCGCTCGGAAGCGCCGCATAGCGCTATCTCCCTTCTTAAATAGAGGGAAGTTCTTTTTACTTCGGGTACTACTTTTCCCCCCATTTATCTCAGTATACTGCAAGTTGTATAGTGCACCTTAGTACTAGAAATCAGATTATACTTCTCCATCTGCTACAGCTCGCGCCTCTACTATACTTGAAACCACATCCCTTATCACTCATAAGTGCGCTTCCGCATACGCGCTGTAGAAACAACAATACCGAGAGGAACTAATGATGCTCCTGACTGTATCTGTAAATGTTGTAAGGTCGCGCGTTGCCTAGTCTGCTATACTTGAGACGACAAGTGCGTTCGACCCTAAAGGGGAAGCGAGTGCAGCAAGGATCTAGTAGTGCGCGCCGAAGGCGCTACTGGTCGGCTGATGCGAAGCGCGAGAAAGCGCGCAGGTGCGCGCGAGGCGCGGGAAAGCGAAGGTACGCGCGCGCGCGTGAGCGGAAACAAGTGATAGTAAGAGTGAGTTTGCTTGAGTGGTGATTAGATACTAGACAAGAGATACGAGCGCGAGGTGTCAAAGAATAGATTTCTACTATGTTCACCTAGGTAGTAAGTGGGTGGTAAGTGGGAGGTAGAGTCTAAGTTGGAAAGTGAGTTCAGTATGTAATGCTGGCGCTTATATGGCGCCTAAGCGCTGTCATGCGGAGCCAAATCGCTACCGAGTAAGGTATGCAAAGATATATGTATGTAAGTAAGGGTCCATGATAAAAATAAAGGTGGAACGATACACAGATAAGAGAAATGGAAACATACACACTAGAGAACTTGGTGGACAGTGGATGGATGCTTCCGGATGGCTGGCGCTATAGGGTGCTCAAGCGCGGGAAAGCGCGCGCGCGTATACATCGTAAAGCACGGGAATGGTGCGCGCATGGCGCGCGTTGCGCGGGAAAGCTGCGCCTCATATAGGGATAGCTGCAGATAGCACACAGAATGGTGCTGCAAGTTCGTGCAATGAACTCCCTAGTGAAAAGTGCCATATCACACCATGAGAGGCATGAGTCTCTACAGCGCGTGCCCTCGCATCTCGCGTGCCCTCGCATCGCTCACGCGCGCACCTTTGTATCGCTTACGCGCGCCTACCAGTGCCCATCTAGTTGACAGAGTTTCCCTCCACCTTATTTGCGAGGAACTTCTCTCAGTAGCTGTCCTTTGGGTCGAGTTGTATTCTCGTATCCAGGTCTTGCTGTAGAGCCCCCTTTCTTTTAGTGTTTTCACCCACAGCCAAGATTCCTCACCTTCAGCGGATGGGAGAAGTGGGAAGCGATCTCAACTATTTGGGAGGTGGGCACAGAGGAAGGTGGTGATGAGGGATGGAATTGGTTGATGGAAGAGAAATTGAATGGGCTTTGGGAGCGTGATGCCGTTTGGATCAGGCAGGAGCTGGCAAACATGCCAATGAGCGACAGCTCATATAAGGTAGAGCACCCAGTGGCATTCGCGACATACCTGCCAACGGATGGTGTCTGCGGGTTCCACATCACAAAGTCAACGGGACATTCATACGAAATGAATATTTGCCTGTCGTTCGATTGGTTGAGATGCATTTACAGGTCATGTGCCGAAATGTATGGAACTGAGCAAACAATGCCAAAGAATAAGGGACGACAGGCTTGAGGGAGGAGCTGCACGACGAGATGCGTGGCCTGATTTGATTAGACGCAAAATGGGGGTCAAAGGTCTAATGAGACAAGAGAAAAGGTGGGGTTGCTCATGATTGGTGGGCACACAACTCTCGGTTGAGCTAGATGTCCCTGATAAAAGGTCAGATGTAGTGTGAAAGAGAAGCAGAGATGACTTGCCTGGAGCTTTACATTGCCATCATCTGCACCCTAGATGGTCGAAACTGTCAGGAAGAAAAATTAGACAACAAGGCAACTGATCACCAATCATTCCAGCGTCTATAGATTGTCGGCAAATGAGGTGCAGGATTTCCATGGTGTGAGGATCAGGTCCGGAATGACTCGTTGAGAAATAAGACATGTGCCTACTGCATGTAGCGTCAAGGCATGTAGTTTATAGAAAAGCCGTACTTACCCCGTATTATGGCCGTATATGGCCGTACAAATACGGCAACATACAGTACTTTGATACCTGTACACCGTAACCATCAACTGAAGGCCAAAACAGCCAATGGTACGGATACAGCGACCGTATTATGGCCCCGTACAGTTCCGTAATACGGCGTACAGCGAACAGCCCTAATTATACACACATTGCAGACACACAAGCAAATAGCTGTTAGCATCAAGAGCTTGATACGTTGAGTCACTTACTTCTCTTGCTTTATCTTGTTATCTTGCACCATTGTACCATGTGTTATTTAGTGCTTCTCATCTTCTCTTCTCCGCACGTTAATCCTCTGGACTCGTTACCTAAGCATCCTCACAGATATTTGTATCGCGCTCGTCTTTTGATTGCACCTCAGTATTTTGTTCCCGCAACTATACTGAGGTATGTATTGCACTCGTCGTATCTACATCTTGTACTGACTCGTTGTAGGACACGAGCTGGCGCTGGGCTCGTATCGAGCTATTTCACAGTACACGCCAAATACCTGTCACATGCTAATCACTTCCCGATGTTATCCGACGCTAACCCGCCAAACCGACGTTTAGGCCGCATCGGACCCGATGTTTTCCCGCGCACTTGTCCTATCCGTGTCCCGTCCTGTCTTGCTAGCCCCACTAGGTGTGTAGTTCATTATTTCGCACATTACTCACGTCGTAGCCAGCGCTATTACATGTTTTCCCATAGTCCGCAGCGCCTCATGTTTATTTACATGTACTTCGGATCCGAAATACTCCGCCGCTACTTTCGCCTATGGGTTCCGCATTTCTACGTACTTACATATATATTGGACTGACCTCGAGCATTATTGATTATCCAAGTAGAGGGGAGCAGTTCCCCGACGCTTAGTGGTCAAACCCGATATTTCGTAGTTCTTAGTTGATATTGCGAATATCATCGCTCTTTCATTATCCATATCAGTCATTGTTATTATCGCGCACACCGCTCGCTCTTCCGACGCTCGCTATAGCGTTACTATTAGTTTCCAACATCCCGAACCCGAACCCGATATCCCGAAACCCCGAAAACATCGGACCCGACGCTTTTGCGTCGGACATCGTAATTATACCTTTGGACATTGTTTCCCGCGCTCGGACTATTGACCCCACATCACTCACTTACCCCCAAGACTATTCCCAGACCGCAGACCCCTGGGTCGAACGCACTTGTCAGGCAAGTATAGCAGAATAGGCAGTGCAAAGACCACAACACAAATATATCAGTTAGGAGCAATCTTTGTTTTGTTCCTCTCAGTATTGTTGTTTCTACATCGTACACTAGCCTTCGCTAGGTACTGACAATTCAGTATTTTGTTCCCACAACTATACTGAGCCTTCACTAGTATTATCAATAGCCAATAATTGGGATCTAACTTGACATGCTTCACAAGCACACAGTAGCACAGACATACAAACTGTACAAATGATAAACCTTGTGTAGGAAAATACAAATGCGGTGTAGGGAATGATTCCTGGCTAGGCTTGCAGAGACTGTTTTACCTAGTACTATGTTTGCACCTTAGCTTACATAATCAAGTTACCTTTTCACCAGTTCTACTATGAGTCTGAGTATTCAGCAAGTTTTTATCATATTTCCTCTTCTCTGAGCCTTGAGCCTGGTCCAGAAACCCTTTAGGATCAAATAGCAGCTAGGTTCTGCAAGACCCAACACATTGTTCAGTATACGCCATCTGAATTGTTGTACCCACAGCAGTCTTTTATTGAAGCTATTTATGCGAAAAGAAGAAAAAGAACCACAAGTATTTACAATATCATTAAGCTGCGAATTAATTAGCAGTGCCATCAGTGCGGTACAGGAACATCACAAACTGGGCACTTACTACTGTCAATTATGTTCGAATAAATGTTGTGATACCATCTTTTCTACGCTTGAGATGCAAGCACCTGACATTCAGGTCAGCTAATAATAAAAGAGTATTTGCAGCCTCTGCACGACGGTGGCAGAGATGTGTGAGTATCTTATGGTGTTCCAAAATACAATCTGCCAGGTGCTTTTGAGCCTGGCAAACTTTATGTTTGGCTTTAGCTGCTTCGAGTGCGAGGTCAGAGTGATCATCTTCCTCTTCGAGTGATATGGAGTCTCATTCCTGCCAGTACCGAAAGCATATAAGAGTCACAAAACATTGAAATTGATGGATAACAACTCACAAGGTGCATCAATATGGAGAAGCTGTCTTCCTCCTTGATCAGCTGCGATCGTGGCAGAGAAGATGAATGTTGTAGACTCTGTCTGTTACGACTTGGATAGGTCGAGCCTTCTCTGGCTGAATAGCCAATTGTTGTCACAACCCAATAACAAATGAACGCTGGGCAAAGACTAGGACTCAAAGCACAAGATAAACCAAACAAAAGATAGAATTGAGCAGGTACGTCTGGGCTGGTACAAGTAATGTACAGACGAGAGGTTTGAACTAAAGAACTACTGACTACAAGCTAGCTACCTATATACATATATTTGTTACGACTTGGATGGGTCGAGCCTTCTCTGGCTGAATAGCCAATCATCTGGCGACAGAAGGACGGTATCTAAGCTCAGCGGAATGCTGAGGTATCCTCCAACGAGCTTGGTAAGCACGGCAGCTCGTCAAGCTTGTAGGGCTAACGGATGTACGGCTAAGGTAGCGTCGGCTAGCCTTAGAAGTGCGGTCTTAGACAGAGGGACTGGGGGTCACTCTGAAAGGATGTTCAAGGGAAAACCAAGTATATCAAAGTAGGGAATACAATGATATGTGTCTACATTATATAGGGTCTAACTACATAGTTCGGGAGGAGTCTATATCTATGGATCTGTCCTAGTCAGAGATAAGATCCATGAGGCAAGCCATGCTTGTCTGATAAGATGCATTGAGGTGCCTCTTCTGTGTCAAGATAAGTACATGAGGCGCTCCGGCCTCAGGGTTCATCAACGCATGAGGCGGCATGTGTCGGTCTAGTTCTACATGAGGCGGACAGCCATCATGATGGGATCGGGAGGCCTTCTGGGTCAGGGGTGACGTCATAGCAGCTCTAGACTGCTCTAGGTATCCAGCGGCATCCAGGCCGCTCTAGGCTTTGGCGGTGCTCCGCTGTGTCAGTAAGTCGGGAAGAGGGAGCATAGGGTGAAGGCGGCATGTTATTGTAACAATATTAAGTCAGAGACTGAAACTGAGTTCAAACTGACTACCAATCAGAATAAATGAAAGTATCATATGATTCTATATATAACTATGATGTCATGATGCGTGCCATAGCAACCGACAGGCTCTGGAACATTCCATAAGGTTTACGTGTTATGTTGTCATCAAGATCGGCATCTTCTGATAGGTCACATGACTCTGTCATGGGTATTCCAGGTAATTCCATAATAGACGCGAATGGCTTCTCCTCTTCAGGGGCCTCTTCCACCATAAATACATTATTAGGTACAGGTGCTTTGGTTGAGCGCTTAAATGACTTGGAGTTCAGAAAAGAATAGTGGTTCATATGAGGTACTCGCGACAATTGTCTGGCGACAGAAGGACGGGTTCTTAGCTTGGTCGAAGGCCAAGGTACTTATCCTCCGATGAGCTTGGTAAGCATGGCGGCTCGTCAAGCTATAGGGCTAATGGATATATGGCTAAGGTAGTGTCAGCTTGCCTTAGAAGTGCGGTCTAGACAGAGAGACTGGAGGTCACTCTGAAAGGATGTTCAAGGGAAAACCAAGTATATCAAAGTAAGGAATACAATGATATGTGTCTACATTATATAGTGTCTAACTACATAGTTCGGGAGGAGTCTGTATCTGTGGATCTATCCTAGTCAGAGATAAGATCCATGAGGCAAGCCATGCTTGTCTGATAAGATACATTGAGGCGCCTCTTCTATGTCAAGATAAGTACATGAGGCGCTCTGGCCTCTAAGTCCATCAACGCATGAGGCGGCATGCGTCGGTCTAGTTCTACATGAGGCGGACAGCCATCATGATGGGATCGGGAGGCCTTCTAGGCCAGGGGTGATGTCATAGCAGCTCTAGGCTGCTCTAGGTCTCCAGCGGCATCCAGGCCGCTCTAGGCTTCTGGCGGTGCTCCGCCGTGTCGGTAAGTCGGGAAGAGGGAGCATAGGGTGAAGGCGGCATGTTATTGTAACACTGTCTGTGTTACAGTAACCCCATCATTTTCCCATCATCACCTACAGGACTATGCATATACTACACTTCTTGATCCCCGTCTTGCTTCTAGCGCACCTCATGTTGACCATGAGGACTTTCCTTATCTCTGACTTCCTTTTCTGTACTACTACAACACCTCATGGACTGGTCTGTGCACTTCTCTTTACGTATATAAACTCTAGCTACTGTCTGTACTTTCTCCTTAACTTGAATCTACTCAGTTCTCACCAATACTTGACTAGGACCTGAGGGTGCCTCCTGATCTAGCTCTTTGCGAAGAGAATAGCCAATACTCAATCACTTTGCCAGAGTTCTACCTCTGGTTGTTATTACCGATACCGTACTCTTGATCTCCTTTATTGGAGCTGTTACAGAAGACTCTATCTGAGTTCGTAACAAAAGATTCAAGTTATACTTTGAACCCCAGCTACCCAGCAGGGCTTATACTTGACCAAGATGCCTGCCTCACGAAAGCAGCAGCACACATTCAGTGAAGCCACTGGATTGAATCCTTACCCCAGATCTCTGACTTTAACAGCCGGATTGAACAGACCTCAGATATCACTGAACCCCTTCCCCGGATTCTTGAACCTGCCAGGACCATCATCAGTCCAGGCGAGAACCACTGTGTCTTCCATCGGACCCTTCACAGTATTACCCGATCCTGATCCCATCTTAGTAGACCAAGACGAAGAAATTCCTGACACACCAGAAACCCAACCCAGATATAGAGCTAGATATGAAGCTCCTCCACCAGACCCTGAAGAAGAACCATCAGACAAAGAAGATTCTGACGACGACATGCCTAAACATGTAGAAAAGAAAATTGGCACTCCCCCTGACTTCAATGGAGAAAGAGACACCTCCTCCAGATTTATCTGACTTGTCTGCCTCTACTTAGACATCAACCAACAGATATATGTAAGTGACACTGAGAAGATCAGCTTCACCCTATCCTTCTTTAAAGAAGGTGCAGCCACAACCTGGATGGAAGATTTCATTGACCATGCCATGGAGATTAACCTCGAAACAAAGCAGCTGTTCGGCTATGGAACCTGGGAAAAGTTCCTAGATGACTTCTCCACATCCTTTGACCCCATCGACTCCACAGGTACTGCATTGTACAAACTGCATAGCCTTAAGCAAGGCACAGATGTCAATGAGTACATCAACACATTCAAACAGCTCTGTGGCAGAGCCGGAATCACGAACTATGCCGCAAAGAAAGATTACTTCCTCCGCGGCCTGAAACCCGGAGTTGTCCACAAAATCTGTGATTCAGGAGACATCCCTGATACCTTTGACAGATTTATCAGAAAAGTCGTCAACATGGAGTCTGCCTACCAACTCCTTATGTCCCACCGATCCCACCACCAGAACTCCCAGAACAATCAGAAGCAGACCCCGCATTACACTCCGAATCACTCCCACAATCCCAATGCCATGGACGTAGACTGCATGACTGATGAAGTCAGAACCGAGCACATGAAGAAAGGATTGTGCTTCAAATGTCACAAGAGTGGCCATCGTGCCAATGACACTGCCTTCCACCCGCGTACCACCGGAGATGCCCAAAAGAATGATAAAGGAAAGCAACCGGTAAGGTGTTGTAACGAGACAACAATTGCTGGATACTACACAAAGTAAGTAATCAGCAATATAATAATGTTGTGGTCTGCACAGCCTAGTCTGCTATACTTGCAAGACAAGTGTGTTCGACCTGAGGGGTTTGCTGTAAGGTATTAGAATAATTAGTTATACGAAAAGGGAGATAGTCCAAAGTGCAGGAAACAGAGTCTGAAGGTAAAAACATCGGGTCCGATGTTTTCGGGTTTCGGGTTAGCGGTGTAACACTCGGACTGGCGTTGGTCGCGTATCCTTCCTAAATTGTATGCATCTCACACTTATATTCCCTGACGCTCCTTTTACCTTCCGAAGCCTGTATACACGTCCGATCCTCCGTACCATGTCCTTTCCGTGTCCGTTTGACTTTGCTGGTGCGTTTTTACATTGGTTTATCTGTTATTGATCATGTCTTAGGGGCACATACATCGAAAAGCTTGATTAATACATATAGCTACCCGCCTCGTGTGCTATTACATGCATATCTCTGTAGCGGCTCGCCTTGAGTCTTATTACATTTCGGATAGTTTATCTCGCTACTAGTTTCGCCTATGCAGATTCCAGACTTTCACGCTGTAGGATATAATCCGACTCGCCAGATACTCGCAGGGCACTTCACTTTCCTGGCTACGAGTCCCAGTTTGTAGAGTCACTTCGGATAGTCGTACTTCGCGCAATCGATCTTTTTGTTCGTTCAGAACGATTGTTTGGCCTAACCGCTGCCATTTCGTGTCTTGATATCTCTAGTTCTTCTGATAGACTTTGCCTAGACGTACCTTGGTACATCTATTAAGTCTTATACTTCAACATATCTCGACATACTTCGACACATCCGCCGTATTTCTCTCTCAGAACTTTCGCTGTTCATCGGACAACTATCGGACGCTTCGTACTGCCTCGGACCTTCTCTTCTTGACTTCGGACCACCTTCGCTCACATCAGACAAGTACTTCGGTACTTCGGACGCATCTTCGGAACTCGAGACGCACTTTGGGTAATTCTCCCTGTTCTTACCTTCGATCTTAACAAGATATCCCTTGCATTTATATCAAGAGATAATTCTATAGGCAGTCTCTTTGGGACAAGTGTTACACTCGCACATTTGAGTTCTAAGGTAATACATTTGTAGTGCCTACAACGAATCTACTCTTTACAGCGGGTTTCGTCGGGTTACGTCGGATTAGCGTCAGGAATGTAATGAATGTCAGGGAAAGTGAATGGCGGGTTACTGTCAGTATTTTCGGAGTGTTTCAGATAATGAAGGGATGATATTTGCGGAATTCAGCAAAGAACTACGAATATCTAATGACCTCCTCCTACTTGGAGGTAGAAAAGGTAAATAAGTAAGTAGGAGGCATGTAAAATATATAGTGTCTATGTAGAATTTCGGAGCGCTATAGGCAAAAGTAGTAGCGGTAATTTTCGGATCCGATGTCCTATGTAATAAGACATGTGGTACTGTGGACATGTAATAACATGGTCTACAGTGTTAGCGGTGTGAAAACTGATAACTGCGCACCTAGTGGGGATATATACGACAGGACAGGACATAGGGAGGACAAGTGCGTGGGAAAATATCGGGTCCGATGCGTGGGAAACAGGCGTCCTTGTCACAGTAATGCAAGAAACTGCTGTGATTGCAGCGTTAGTAGTGATGCATTTTTTCTACAATTGTAGGCCTGCTGATACTGATGCATCAGCCGCAATATAGGGCAATGCATGATGATGCACCCAATGATGCATACATTCAATGCATCATACCCTACCCCTGGCCCTCACCGCCACCCTTGTCGCGCCTTTGCACATATTAGGATGCCAGCGTTGGGCCCGCAATAATGCATGCATTCGATGCATCAGCATCATGCCCTACCCGCCCCCGCCCCCGTTCCCGCCCTTGCTGCACCTTTGCAATACATTTGATATATTAGGATGCCAGCGTTGGGCCCGCAATAATGCATGCATTTGATGCATCATGCCCTACCCGCCCCCGCCCCCGCCCTTGCTGCGCCTTCGTAATACCTTTGACATATTAGGACACCAGCGTTGGGCCTGCAATCATAATGCATGCATTCAATGCATCACAGCATGCCCTACCCGCCCTCGCCCCTGCCCTTGCTGCGCTTTTGCAATACCTTTGACATATTAGGACACCAGCGTCGGGCCCAGCACTTGCGCACATTACCCTTTTATAGTCAAGTGCCAGCAGTCAAATTTTGCTCGTATTCTGCTACAGCTATTTTACAGTATTCATAAGTTAGAACTCATGTATTCAAACTTGTTGAAAATCTGCAGTGTTCATTTTACAAGTAATGTATAGTCAAAGCTCCGTGTCCCGTGTCGAAGCTCTACTTGGTTCGAGTCAACTTAGGTCACGTGATCTCTTGTTCAAATTTGCGAAGCCCCAACAAATGATTGAAGTCAGGTGTCGCATCAATACTAGAGTTCCACTTGTACATAGGATCTCTTCTCATATATCAAAGACTCGATGAACATTTTATGCGCAAGACAACACATTAATTCACATTGCGAACAGAGTACAAGGTAGAGATACTAGTAGTACTAGGGTAGACAAGTTGTCAAAGATGTTAGTATCAAGATGCTAGATATGAATATACAAGTACGACTGGAATGATCAGGCCTTGGTTCGCTTTTTCCTAATGAATGTCAGTATGTGCGAAAGTCAGAAGTAAGAAAAAGTAACCTACTTGGGAGCACTGGGGACCTCATTCTGTGCAGGTCGTTTCAATGAAGACAGTGCTTCCGTGTCCAGGCCAATGTCACGGTTTTCCTTTCCAACCAAAAACGACACACCATCAGTGCCAATTGCATCTGAAAGTTTGTTCCATATGTAGAAACAACAATACTGAGAGGAACAATGATGCTCCTGACTGTATCTGTAAATGTTGTAAGGTCGCGCGTTGCCTAGTCTGCTATACCTGAGACGACAAGTGCGTTCGACCCTAAAGGGGAAGCGAGTGCAGCAAGGATCTAGTAGTGTGCGCTGAAGGCGCTACTGGTTAGCCAATGCGAAGCGCGAGAAAGCGCACAGGTGCGTGCGAGGCGTGGGAAAGCGAAGGTGCGCGCGTGCGCGTGAGCAGTAATGAGAGAGAGTAAGAGTGAGTTTGCTTAAGTGGTGATTAGATACTAGACAAGAGATACGAGCACGAGGTGTCAAAGAATAAATTTCTACTATGTTCTCCTAGGTAGTATGTGGGTGGTAAGTGGGAGGTCCAGTGATTGTCCTCCTGGTAGGTAATGCTGGCGCTTATATGGCGCCTAAGCACTGTCATGCAGAGCTGAATCGCTACCGAGTAAGGTATGTAAAGATATATGTATGTAAGTAGGGGTCCATGATATAAATAAAGGTGGAATGATATGTAAATAAGGGAAATGGAAATACACGCACTAGAGAGCTTGGTGGACAGTGGATGGATGCTTCTGGAAGGCTGGCGCTATAGGGCGATCAAGCGCGGGAAAGCGCGCGCGCGTATACATCGTAAAGCGCAGGAAGTTGTGCACGCATGCTGCGCATTGCGCGGGAAAGCTGCGCCTCATATAGGAATAGCTGTGGATAGCATACAGAGTGATGCTACAAGTTCGTGCCATGTACTCCCTAGTGAAAACTGCCATATCATGCAATGAGAGGCATGAGTCTCTACATCGGGACACGTTTGATGCGCACTGCGGAGTCCATCGCATTAGCATTGGCAGGTCCGGTGACTTCAATCATGGCAATGGGATTGGATAAGATCTTGGTTGCTGCAGCGCTGTCCTTAGGAATGGGGGCAGGTTTTGCAGTGGCTGCCTTCGTCTTGTTAGTTATAGACTTCGCATTGAGACATTTCTTTCCAGGCTTTGGGACAGGTTTTACACGAGTAGGATCCACTCCAGCCTTACCAATAAGAGGGTGCGAAATATCACTCGTACCCGGAGGCACAACAGGGGATGGAAGAACAGGAAGGGAGTCCTTGTCAGTCGCAGCAGGAAGAGGCGTTGGAAAAACAGGAAGTGAGTCATGATTGGTTTTAGCAGCCAAGCTGCTGCGCTCCGCAGAGATAGGGGACAAAAGATCTGAGAGTCGCCACCCACCATGAGGAGTGCCTGCTACTCCACCAATTGAAGGCAAGCCTACTCCATCGAAGTTCCAGTTTGCATCCTGCAGGTCATGTGGTGCATCGGTGAGTGAAAAGGTGGGGGTAATGACACCGAAGCCAGCGTAGTCGGTTGTTTGCATTGGGAGTGAGGATCCCTGAGATAACGATGTATCAGTCGGGGGGAGGATGACCTGGAAGGACGCATCAGTCTGACTGCTGCTCAGCAAGTCATGAGTAGCCGTATCGTAGGTCAGATGGTTTTCCGTCCCGTACTGTGGATCATAGGCCATATGAGAATGGTAGGTGATATGAGCATGCGCGTCATAGGCCAGATCGGGCTGCATCCTATACAGGGCATGATCGTTATATGTGTATGTTCCGTGACCACGGCCCGCCGTGTCATACTAAAATATTAATCATAAGAAGTCAAAAATGAAGATAGCATGAAGGAAAGGGCGTACTCACCGATGTATCCATCACACCTATCAATGCATCAGGTGTAATTGATGCATGACCCAAGTCAGGACCAGACTGCACAGCTGATGCATCAGGTGCGATTGATGCATCAAGCATGATTGATGCATCAAGCGTGATTGATGCATTGCCTAAGACAGGCCTGGGCTGCACAGATGATGCATCACTTAGTAGGTTCAGAAAGAAGACTGTTGATGCACCACACTGATGCATGAGTCGACAGTGAGAATATATAAAGACTAGACGACTCACCACCAGAGTCCAGAGTCCCCATCCCAGCCCCCTCATCTTCATGCCAACTTGGCTGAGTCTTTCCCCCTTGGTGACTCAAAGAGTCTTCTTCTAGTTGCGCATCGTGCTCCTCGACCTTGTCTTCATCATCCCCCTTGGTCTCGCAGCGATCGTCCCTGCTCATTGTGGTCGCATCAAGCTTGCGCTTGTTGGCAGCTGTATGCGCATTCAGTGAGTGAGCCCAGAACCAGCGTAAGAAAAACAGCTTACGGAAGATCTCTTCAGCATAATGCTGGAATGCCTCCAGGAATTCTCTGTCAGCCATCTCGTATATCTCAGTGAATGATTTTCCTTGTGGTGTTTCTGAAGGGTGACATCTTCTGTTCGTAAGTCACTGCGCATCCAGAGCAATCCATAAACTCACGATAAAGTCGTCATGTCCCAGCCATTCCTCGGATCTGGGCCAGCGAACATGAATGACATGACAAACCGAGTCTTCTGCTTCACAAGTTGCGCAAAGTGTCGGCAAATAACAGGCAGGTCGTCTATACCTCTGCCAATGGTGTTAGCAGTTGAGTAAACTGGTAGAAATAAACTAAACATACTGTGTAATGACCTTTGCATCCATCTCGTCATCCACTTCATCGTCCAGATCAAGAAAGTTATTGCCATGTTTGGCAACCTTCTGGACAGCTTGCAGCTGCTCCTTGTACTTTGAACAGATGTCGGCCTTGACATCCTCAGTTTCATCTTCCAGCAATTCCTTCGAGAATTTTTGGGCCAGCGCCACATGTTTCCCAGAAGTCGTCACGTTTCCGGCTTCTGCTTCAGCCATGACCAATGGCTTGATATGTTTGTCGTAATACATTTCGGAGTAAATCTCAGCCTCGGTCTTAGCGCATCTCTTCGGCTTCAAAGCATTGTCAAAAACTGTACACTTCTTCTTAAGGCTGCGATTTTTCTTTGAACCATTTGTGCGCCAGCGATACCAGGTCCTGAGTTGCTGGAGTAGGAATACTGGTTAGTAAAATTCCATGCTACTATGTCACAAATAGACTTACAACCTTGCGCAAACCCTGTGCTTCTTCAACAGCATCATCTTGCTCAGGAGAAAGTGGTAAATTGATAGAGATGTCAGGAAAGAGCACAGCTCGTTCCGGGTACTTGCTGAACCAACCGTCATTCAGTGCAGGCCAGAATTGAGTATAGTCTCCTTCTTTCGCAAACTCCATATAGACTGGTAACTGTTCTTGAAGCCAGCACGTCTGTTCCATCAAAGCCCACGTAGCTGCCGGCATCTGCAAGTCATATGAATTAGTCCCATGTAGTATCTTAGTCAAATTTCGGCATGTCGTACCGTTGGTAATATAAGGTCTCAGGAAGAACGTACAAGTGTTATTGATGGAGTGTTCAGGTGAGCGCCCGCTCAAATAATCTTGTATAAGTATTCACCATCGCACGTTGTAGAAACAACAATACTGAGAGGAACAAAACAAAGATTGCTCCTAACTGATATATTTGTGTTGTGGTCTTTGCACTGCCTATTCTGCTATACTTGCCTGACAAGTGCGTTCGACCCAGGGGTCTGCGGTCTGGGAATAGTCTTGGGGGTAAGTGAGTGATGTGGGGTCAATAGTCCGAGCGCGGGAAACAATGTCCAAAGGTATAATTACGATGTCCGACGCAAAAGCGTCGGGTCCGATGTTTTCGGGGTTTCGGGATTTCGGGTTCGGGTTCGGGATGTTGGAAACTAATAGTAACGCTATAGCGAGCGTCGGAAGAGCGAGCAGTGTGCGCAATAATAACAATGACTGATACGGGCGGTGAAGGAACGATGATATTCGCAATGTCAACTAAGAACTACGAAATATCGGGTTTGACCACTAAGCGTCGGGGAGCTGCTCCCCTCTACTTGGATAATGAATAATGCTCGAGGTCAGTCCAATATATATGTAAGTATGTAGAAATGCGGAACCCGTAGGCGAAAGTAGTGGCGGAGTATTTCGGATCCGAAGTACATGTAAATAAACATGAGGCCCTGTGGACTATGGGAAAACATGTAATAGCGCTGGCTACGACGTGAGTAATGTGCGAAATAATGAACTACACACCTAGTGGGGCTAGCAAGACAGGACGGGACACAGATAGGACCAGTGCGCGGGAAAACATCGGGTCCGATGCGGCCTAAACGTCGGGTTGGCGGGTTAGCGTCGGATAACATCGGGAAGTGATTAGCATGTGACGGGTATTTGACGTGTACTGTAAAATAGCTCGATACGAGCCCAGCGCCAGCTCGTGTCCTACAACGTGCACCTTTTTTTCATTAGTTGCCTTGCGAGTCCAGAAGCAAGTGTGCGGATCCAGTGCAAACAACTTCGTATGTATCACAGCCAGGCGCTACCTACATTTAATCGAGATCGGTTTGCAAGATTGTAATATTTCTAAATATGTACTTATGCTTCTTTGTCGGTGTCTCGCTGTTGGGCAAAAGGTGCCAATGCCATGGAAAATGGCCGATATGGGATCCACGCTGTAGACAGGACGTGTTTGTTTTCGAACCAGGCTTTGATCCTCTGGGATGTAGTAGTAGCTTGCGTCCATAGTACTTTGAAATTAAAGTACTCACTAGTTTGCGATCCTCTTCTGCCTGAAATAATGAGCGCTGCTGCTCATCCGTGAGAGGCTGAGACTTGGGAATGTCGGCCAGCAAGGTCTGATGCTCCGGCCAACATGCAAAAAATGCCTCAAAGAACGATGGCCAGAACTCTACAAGGTCATCGTCTTCGTAGCAATATGAGTACATGGCACTGTTGTCATCCAGATACTCGAGCTGTTCACTTGACCAGTATGGGTCCGTCGGCATGTCTGTCACTGACTGTGAAATCAGTGCGATTATTAAAAGGATATGTCATTTACCTTTGTTTCGGCAGTGTTCAACGTTCAACTTGGAAGTATTATTTATAACCGCTGATACTGATATGGTTCTATTTTTATAATTCTATTTTTGAACTCCGCGGCGGAGCAGTGCGTGAGCGATGATATTCAAATGTCTGTGAGTGAGGCAAATATATGCTCACATTAGTAGTAAGTCCAGTAGACAGGACACAATGTAGATAACATGCCCACTATTATACATCAATGTCCGTATCTCAACACTGAACTTGTATATAGCAATGATACCAGTATCCTACATATCCTGCGACATCTTTTGACCTGGCCAATCAGTTAGTTTCCATGTGTTGTAGTAAATCTCGTGTAAATACTACTATGCAATACTATTATACGGAGAACATGTCCGCTCAACATTAATCTCAATGTCAATCATGTGGGTAATCACACCTGCAGTATTCTTGAACGTACTGTACCATCTTTGACTTGGCCAATTGGTCATTTGCTGCTGCGACAGAAATTTATGTTGTAAATCTCGTGTAAATACTAGTTGTAGTAATCTTAGATCACAGTTACTTACTCCGCATACTACCAAGCAGCCACAATATGGGTCGACCACGACTGCACAACACTCCTCAAGAGAAATTGGAAGCAGCTCGCCGCTATTGAAAAATATATTATGACAGGTCAGATGCACGTTCAATCATATTCAATATTGGCAACTCATCATGTATGGCCAACATTCATGAATCATGATATCATTAGTTCCAAGCACAAAGCAAAATATTGTGCACGCCAACGGTAAGCTTGGTGTTCCTCAGATATACAATTATTTAACTATATTTCTGTAGTGCAAATGTGGTCTCTCAGGACATTACAGACCTTCCACCGATGTCTCGCAGGTAATGATATGTCTCCCGCCAATTTACACATTTATTTTGCTGAGGCTAATTGCAGCCAGCATTATCATTCTCACTGTAACTCGACAGATTTACAAGATTGTAGCAAAGGACATTCACGCAGGAGTGGCAGTCAGTGAGTCTAAGCAGTGTCCTCTATTACTCAAAGTTAATCACACCATTTCTCAAGGAGGAAGGATAACATGGTAGAAGCAGAGGCTACACTCAGCCGCCTCGTAAAAGGTTCCTCCTCAGAACTTCTGGACGACTTAGTCCAACATATCAGGGCCACTGCACCCATCGAGCCTTGGATTCAGTGCATCCAGACTTTGCTGGACAATGTAGACAGACTGAGAGAAGAGGTTCAGGAGTGTCATTGTGTGACTCTCCAACACCATGGTGTGGGGAAGGAGTTGCGTCTGGTGGAGTTCACTGCCGGAAGGGTGGCCACCTTCACAAAAGTCTTAGAGGACATTCTCATGCATGCTATGGCTGATCCACGCAACCTACTCGAACACCACACGCGAGGTGAGCTACTATACCAGAACACTCCCAATATTACTGCATTGTCACGGTAGACTAGGTGTTCGTTCCTCGGCTGTCGGACATGATCTCCATGTATCGATGTTATTTAGATATCGGACATTTCACAGTAATGCATCATGTCTTGTAGTCTGCTTAAATTGGCGATCGGACATGTTCTCAAGCGTGTTCTTGCAGTGATTCACCAGCCAGGTTTACGAAGGTACGGCGGCAATAACACTAACTCAATACAATCTCATTACATGTGGGACACTGGTACAAGTAGTCAAAAAAGGATGGTACACTAAGAGCCTCAATCAAGCCATTCTGCTTCTTCAAGGCAGATTGCGTCAAGCATGCGAATGACCGCTGTAGAAACAACAATACTGAGAGGAACAAATGAAGCTCCAGACTGTATCTGTAAATGTTGTAAGGTCGTGCGTTGCCTAGTCTGCTATACCTGAGACGACAAGTGCGTTCGACCCTAAAGGGGAAGCGAGTGCAGCAAGGATCTGGTAGTAGGTGCTACTGGTCGGCCAATGTGAAGTGCAAGAAAGCGCGCAGGTGCGCGTGAGGCGCGGGAAAGCGAAGGTACGTGCGAGGCGCGGGAAGCGCGCGCGCGCGTGAGCGGAAACAAGTGAGAGTAAGTGTGAGTTTGCTTAAGTGGTGATATGATGCAAGACAAGAGATGTGAGTGTGAGGTGCCAAGGAATAGATTTCAACTATCTTCTGCTAGGTAGTAAGTGGGTAAGTGGGAGGTCAAGTTCCCTGGTTGGAAGGTTATGCTGGCGCTTATATGGCGCCTAAGCACTGTCATGCAGAGCTGAATCGCTACCGAGTAAGGTATGTAAAGATATATGTATGTAAGTAAGGGTCCATGATATAAATAAAGGTGGAATGATATGCAAATAATGGAAATGGAAATACATGCACTAGAGAGCTTGGTGGACAGTGGATGGATGCTTCTGGAAGGCTGGCGCTATAGGGCGATCAAGTGCGGGAACGCACACGCATATATACATCGCGAAGCGCGGGAATGGTGCGCGCATGGTGCGCATTGTGCGGGAAAGCTGCGCCTCATATAGGGATAGCTGCAGATAGCACACAGAATGGTGCTGCAAGTTCGTGCAATGAACTCCCTAGTGAAAAGTGCCATATCACACCATGAGAGGCATGAGTCTCTACACCGCATCATCCCGGGACCTCGCGCAAGTATAAGACGAGCAGCTAACACCGAGGACATGAGGAGAGGTGCATGTCCTGAGGTAATGTAAGAGAAGGAAGTCAATCACAAAATGAGACGCACCATGTACTAAACACGCCAACCCGGCGACCACGGGTCACGAGGTAGAACGGGCCACCAGCTTCCTTGTGTGGAACATCGAAGCTGAAACCCTCATAATGATGCTGGAACCTTTCCTCCCCATTGACTGTGATACAGGTCATTGGGAGGTCGGGTAACCACTGTGTGATTTGGGGGGGGGGGGTGGGAAGTAGTTTCATGGCTGGTGTGGCATAGGGCAGAGTTGGAGTAGTGGAAGGGGTTGGTAGTAGAGCCGGAGTAGCAGAAGGAAGAGTCTTCACAGCAGGAGGGGCTGAGGGTGGAGTTGGAGTAGCAGAAGGGATCGGTAAAAGTGCCTGCATGGTACGAGAGGTGATTGCAAGCGAGGGGCTACTGGAAGACAGCTGTGTCTGTGTGGTGGGAAAGGCGGTGGCAGACGACATGGACAGGTCAGATTTCCCTAGATCAGTGCTATCGACGATGACTTGAATCAGATTATGCGCGTCATTCGTGGAGAGAGTTAGCGAAGATAGAAGTTGTAAGATGACATCTACAAACCATTAACAACTAGCAGGTGAAACGACTGGCAAGACACATACCCAGCACAATGTGACCTTCATGACTCGAAATGCTCTGGGACACCATGTTTAGTGAAAGAGGGCGAGGCCGTTGAACCTTGAACTATTGACTCACCTGGATGGACCATACTTTATGTATCTATAAAGAACTGGAAACCTTAAAGATCATTTACGAAGTTTGGGAGACAGTAGTTGCGAAAGAAGGGTGGGTTGCGCCTGAAAATGAGCACGAGATTTCCCAACAGGACATTATTATGTAAGTCACTGTCATAGAAGACCAACATCATTCTCACGGCAGTAGTTGCGAAAGAAGGGTGGGTTGCGGCTTCAATTAGAAGATCACCCCGATGACACTTGTATCGAAGATGTCATATCCCGCATTCCGGACCAACATCCGACGACGTTCCCACGCCTCATCCGGACTTCCGGACCTCCTGTCCATGTCTCCAGACCCAATCCTCTATCCGTCCGGATCCCTGTACTCCTGCATCTGATATCCGGACGCCAGATCTGATATCCACATCTCCGGATCTCCGGATCCGACCTATCTGTCATGTCCGAACCCAAACCTTAAATCAGCGCCCATCCCCTTATGGTAATCACCTGTCTCCGGACTTCCGAACATCCGGATCCGACCCACGTCTATCTTCCGGATCCAACCCGCGTCTATCTTCCGTGCCTTATCCCTTTGTATGTTCCTTCTTGAGTTAGACTTCCTCATTTTCCGTACCTCGTTTCATTTCCGGCTTTATTTTCCTATGTCTTCATCTCTGTCTTCATTTACTATTTTCCGATAGACTAGTGTTTGACTTTTCTACATCCTCTGTCCACAGCCTCGCATAGCTTCAGACTGCGCTGACTGACTCTCCATTAAGTTCTCTGTAGTATATAAACTCTGTAGAATCTTTGTACTTCCTCAGTCTGAATATTACACATATTAGTCCTCGCACTAGCCTTCACCCTAAGTCCTTGTAACAGTTCTAGTCCTCCGACTTAGTCATTATCCATCTCAGGCCTAGGGAGGAATTCCCTAGGCCATTCCTCCGTTCCTCCGTTCCTCCGTTCCTCCGTTCCTCCGTTCCTCCGTTCCTCCGTTCCTCCGTTCCTCCGTTCCTCCGTTCCTCCGTTCCTCCGTTCCTCCGTTCCTCCGTTCCTCCGTTCCTCCGTTCCTCCGTTCCTCCGTTCCTCCGTTCCTCCGTTCCTCCGTTCCTCCGTTCCTCCGTTCCTCCGTTCCTCCGTTCCTCCGTTCCTCCGTTCCTCCGTTCCTCCGTTCCTCCGTTCCTCCGTTCCTCCGTTCCTCCGTTCCTCCGTTCCTCCGTTCCTCCGTACCTATTCTGCTTCGGACTTTGTCCTTGCAGCCTTTCCTCTGTTTGCTTCTACTCAGGACTTGTCCTGAGTAGCCATTACACATATCCCCGTCAGGACGAAACTCCATCGTAATTTCCGGAAGTTCCTCCGGAAGTTTCCCGCACTCATCCGGAAGTTTCTCGCACTCGTCCGAAAAGTCCTTCCGAAGTTTCCCACGCTCCTCCGGAAGTCCTTCGGACTTCACTGGACTTTCTCCGGACTTCATTCTGAAGTTAAGGGCACATACTCGGGTAAGGGGCGCAGCGCACGAGCTGAAGCCAAGCCCCTTGGAATCAGTCCTACCCTTTGTGCATGGTTTTAACAGAAGACTGGCTTGAAGGTCGTCGAAAGAGGTGGCACTGGTGATGGTTCCAGCAGACGAGAGTATCGCAGCGTCCAAGGAATAGTGCCACTCACAGTCATACCTAGGGCGCCTCCCATGTGTGCCATATCCACACATCTTCAACGAATGGGCCTGTGCGTTACCAATTTCGTTCAGTATCAGAATGAGTTGCTAATAGAAGAATTGGCCTTAACATAGATTACCAAGAGATCACCAGCTGGCCACAAATGGATCGAGCTATACCAATAATGTTCAGGAACACAGGTAAGTGAAGAGCGGCCTAACGTGCATCGTATACTAAATAATAACAATCATTTGTAGTTTTGACTCTGAGATCGGGTTACTCAGTGGACACATCCTGGTCTGTTTGATGATGAGCGCTTCCGGCAGTGCAGGAGCTTCAGGGCCATTGTCTTCCCCCCCGGTTCAGGTCTTACAATGTACAGAGGAACACCACCGGACTGTGCGGGCGACAACAAACAAATGGAAGAAGAAACCGACCCTTAATTCATATTCACAGATCTCCAAACATGCTGCCAATAAGTCAGTCCAGCAACGACAACACACCCAGTATCGCGTCCACAATAATGGTTCTATCACCTACACACGGACATACGTAGAACCTCCCCAGAATGTCCAACCGTCTCAGCCTCTTGCACGGGAACCTTCGCCCGGTTTCATACCTCCTTGCGACGATTTTTTGGCTGATGGACCATCAGACGTCGATATCGCGCCTTCATTGGATGATAGCCAACCTCAAAAAAGGTGATGTACTGCCAGGGTAGGTGTAATAATCAGATGACCTTGTAAAATCACTCACTTAATTTAGGATCATCCACTTCTTATGTGGTTAGAACACCATTCTGTGTTCCTTGAGGAAACATTGCGCCTGGAAGGCCGAGGTGACCTCCAGAAAGCTTCTTGTTCCGACTGTGGCGATTCCTCCCCCAAATACCGATGTCAAGACTGTTTTGGGATCAATCTTCGGTGTTTGTCTTGTATCACGGCAGCTCACCAGCGTCATCCATTGCATAGGTTGCAGGTTAGTGTAGTGTTTCTTCATCATACAAGGCAACATCTGATCAACCTCCATAGAAATGGAATGATAACTATTTCGAACGCGTGACTCTGAAGAGCCTGGGCCTCCAAATACAATTGGGCCATCCGTTCGGCCAGAAGTGCCCAAATCCTCGTCGTGCTTTTAACGACGACTTTGTCGTCATGGATTCATACAGCATCCACGAGGTCTTATTGAGTTTCTGCGACTGTGTGGAGGCAGGATCGCACGTACAACAACTTCTTCGCATGCGCTTGTTTCCTTCAACAACCAACAACGGCCAACCCAAAAATGGCTGCAACTTTTCGCCTCCTGGATGAGTTTCATTTACTGTCTTTCAAGTCGAAGGTCTTGGCATACAAGTTTTATAGTGCTCTTGTGCGTAGAACTGACAACACCGGGCTGACCCCTGTCAAGGTCAGTAACTCAAATTTTTGTGCTGACTCGACATTACAATATGGCTTATTTGATTTGTAGGACCAATACGAATCATTCATGAGAATGATCCGCGAATGGCGGCACTTGATGATGCTCAAGCGATCCGGAAGAGGGCATGACCCCAAAGGAGTCAATGCCACAGAAGAAGGTGATTACGCGGTCTTGTGCCCTGCCTGTCCCCATCCAGGTAAAAATTTACCTGACGACTGGCAGAAGGCTCCTCGTGCAAAACGGTGAGCTGAAAACATGATCGTCGGTCAATGTCTGATACTTTTTAGCTGGATCTATGCATTATTCGTGGCTATTGATGCGAACTTCCGTCTGAAGCGCAAAATTGTCTCCAACAATACCACAGACCCAAGTTTGAGTCGTGGATGGGCATATTTTGTAGAGGAGAGTGCATACAAGGGGTTTCTCGCAGAGAAGGTTGATGTCCCACAAGAGGTGAGGCTACATTGTGATTGTTAGTTCGGTTCTCATGGAATCCGTTCAGAAATCTACATGCTCTAGTCACAATGCTGTGAATATGGCCGATACAAAGACTAACTGTGGGCTAGCTGCTACAGGGCTTGGTACTATTGATTGTGCGCGTCACAATATGAAGTGTCCGAATGCTGTTGGAGACCTGCAAAAGGGAGAGAAGTGAGTTTACTCGTTCTGTGAAATTTATATGCACTGAACCACAACTGTCGATAGATACATCAATATGGACTACCTTTTTTTTTCAACGCTCCGCCACACCTCCTTGCAAACTAGGAGCAACAGTGCATTTTCTTAGTTACTTGCTTGCAGCGTCACTAAATCTCTCACAGGCGACACTTGAGAGCGGATAAGGCTGGGCAAGGCTTACATGTTACAGATACTCAGCAGGGGAAGTTACTTGAGTGGAGCAACACATTACAGCGCAGGATTGATGGCTGGGTAAAGATACAGGAACTCTACATGCCTAACATCGCTGCCATACGACTTGCCGACAAAGCAACCTCCGCAGACACCACCTTTGTCCCTACTCCCGAAACCTTCAAGTTGTGGCTGCCATTGCAGATCAGCAGGTTGGCACTGTGTGATGAACGACTGCAACGGATCGAGTGGAGATTAAGATACGCACAATGTCACGACACCCTCCGCTCTGTACGTTCCAGCCTTCACGCGCAGACGGCCGTTCTCAAATATAAAGACCGCAATCTTCGAGGACAAGGGGTGAATACTCGGGCGCGCAGCACGCTCAAAACAATTGATGCAAGGATTGAGGCTGCCACTGGCAGGTACGAAGGTGCACACAAGGCTCTGGTGACTCTGGGGGGACTCTTAAACGAGTCCGGCTGGCAGTCATCGCTGCGTCCTTTAAATAGCCAGGATATCCGCTCGATGTCTGACATACTGTGGGGTGAATCGGAGGGCAGACAAAAATTGTCGTGGATATGGAACATGCGTGGCGCTGGAGGAAGTGAAAAAGACGACAGTGGGGCTTTAGAAGGTATGTACGATACAATAAAATAGTATTCTTACTGACTGTCCTGCAGACATGCGGATTGAGTGGTGCAAGGCAAGGGCCTGTGCAATGCGTTGGGGGGAAGAAGTAGAACTGCTACAAGAAGAAATGTGGTGTATAGTGGCATTTCTAATGTGGGAGGCAGTGCGGTGGGATGAAAGGAAGGATGGTGTTATATCAACCAGCGTGGAGCATCAGGATGGGTGTGTGGCATATGCAAAGCGTCAGGCTCACCTACGCCGAGAACTAGCGGCTTCATTTGAAGCACGCTGGGCGAATGTCCTGGCTCAGTCTGAGGATATCATGTACGTAGATTGAGCGTAGTAGCGATTATATACATTGTATGATCTGCAACACACCGTGAGGGCGGGATGCATCAGCGATGGGAAATGCATGAGGGGCAGGATGCATCAGCGACAGGAATGTATTTGAAGCGAGTCTTTGAGAGGAATGCATCAGTAGCGGGGAAGCATCACACAGGCGGCATCACACACTGGTACTGCAGAGGAGGGGATGCATCAGCGACAGGAATGCATCAGCGAGAGAGCAAGAGGAATGTATCACACAGGCGGCATCACATGCTGGTACTGCCACAGAGGAGGGGATGCATCATTAGTGACAGGAATGCATTACACAGGGCATACTGGTACTGTACATGAGGGGATGCATTATGGATGCATCAGGACATAGTACTGTAGGGGAGGGGAGAGCACTACAATTGTAGCAAAAATGCATCACAGGTGCGCTACAGTTACAGCAAATAATGCATCACAATGACACAAACCTGTGGGGGAAATGTCGGGTCCATCGGATTAGCGTCGGGTTAGCGGATAAACATCGGATTGAGCGGATAAGTGTCGAATAACATTGGGAAGTGATTCGAGTGTTTGACATGTGTTGGGAATTAGCTGAATACGTGCTCAGCGCGAGCCTGAGTGCTACAGCGTACAAACCCTGATGATGAAGATCTAGAAACGAAGAGAATGGATTTTTAGAATGGGAGCCTACCACAGCGTTAGAACTCCCTTATCTCGATGTACGTACCATCAAGAATGTAGGAAAGACCAGAGAATTTAGGGTGCCAATCACCATCTTATCCTCTGAACATCGAAGAAAATCGCTGGAAACCACCACCGTCATTGACACTGGCGCAGTAGCCACATTCATTCACTGGATGTTTGTCAGAAAACACAAAATCCAAACCCATGAACTTTCGAAACCAATCAAGATTTGCACCGCAGATGGAGAACTCTCCAAGCACATTGTCACGCACTTCTGCCATCTCGCAATCAAGATTGATAACCGAGTTATGATCAGAAAGTTTAACGTCCTCAACATGAGCGACAAAGATATGATCCTCCTTGGAAAACCTTGGCTGAACGCCATGAACCCCGACATCGATTGGACCAATGATACCCTTCGATCCATCCAACTCAAAAACATCTCCCATAGAAAGCAAGGAGTACACATGACTTACATAAAGTCCTCTATGTCTGAAGAACTCGAGAAGGAAGGAGACCACCCCTCTCACAACCCTCTGCCTGTGAATGGCAAAAGAACCATAGAACGAATCAAACTTAGGGAAGAAGAAGTTTTTCACGATGCCCTCGAAGAACTCCCCCCCACAGTCCCTGATCAGAGCTATCCCCCTCAGTATGACACCAATTGGGATATATGGGATGACATCCCCACAGAACCATTCGAAAAAGACCTCTTCTATGCCAAGAAAGTTGATGAACCCGCTGTAGGACTGGAAGTCCTTACAGCCTCGTAGAGGCTATTTTGCAGTGTCCCTCAGCATCCTATTGCTTTACTATATGAAGTGCAGCTTTCCTGCGAGCCGCGCTTAGCGGCCGCTACTTTCCCACGATGGCCGCAGTGTTCCCGCGCGTGTGCACAGCCGCGCTTTTCTCGCGCTTTATCGGCCAACGTTCTGCATCCATCCATAGTCCAAAACCAACCCAATGGTACGTTATTCCATGATTATATTTACATATCAGACCATTTCCGCATCACACCACCTTTATTTCGTCATAGACCCTCATTTACATATAGCTTTACATACCCTATTCGGTAGCGCGTCGGCTCAGTTCCGCATGACAGTGCTTAGCACAATACTTAAACACTAGCAGTACATATCATTCAGTAGCTTGTTTTCCGGACGTTCCAGTAGCAACTCCCATTAGCCTATAGTTAGTAGCTATTGGCAATCCATATCCGTTTACCGCTCGCGCCGCGTCTGTTATCGTCCACTTTACATCTATTTCTATTGTCTATCATCTCTATCATCATCCAAACCACTTGCGCATCGGCCACTTTGCAGCCGCGTTTTTCCCGTGCCTTCGGCTTTCAGCTGCCGCTTCGTTCCCACGCACGCACCTGCCGCTTTCCCGCGCTTCGCATCGGCCGCTAAGCAGCACCTTCTGCACTCATTTCTAGACCTTTGCTGCACTAGCTTCCCCTTTAGGGTCAAACGCACTTGTCTCGCAAGTATAGCAGACTGGGTGTTGGATGACCTACAACATAAAGATATCGGTTTGGAGCTTATAGCACCACACTGAGTTGTAAACCTACACCACAATGTACCTTCTCAATGACAATGAAGTACTGATCCAATACACCCAAGATGGTTCAGAGGTAACCCTATTTGAAAACCTCACCTTTGACACCCCCCTCACTTGTGATGGCACATCTGCTACCGAGATCCGCCAAATGGCATCCCGCAGACTGCTCAGGAATCAATGGATCCTGAGAAAAGCCGAAGAAGATGAATATCTGAAGACCAGCAACAAAGCCCAAGAATTCACTCTGAAAGACGCTCAAGAAAAGAAGAAGAAGACCTTCAAAGAGCTTGTTCCCTCCTACCTCCATGACTTCGCTGAAATTTTCACCAAAGACAGCCTAAATAAACTTCCCCCTTCTCGACAAGGTGTTGACCATAGAATTGAGACCAAACCTGGCTTCATCCCAAAATCTGTGAAAACCTACCCCTTATCCCTGAAAGAAACCGACACTGTGAAAGCCTTCCTTGATGAGCATATCACCAAGGACTTTATCCAGCCTTTGAAGTCACCACAAGCAAGTGGCTTCTTCTTTGTAGGAAAGAAAGATGGTTCCCTTAGACCCTGCCAAGATTATCACTACATCAACGAGTGGATGATAAAGCACACCTACCACCTTCCCCTGATTCTGCCCCTGATTGCAAAATTATGCGATGCAAAGTATTTCACCAAGATGGATGTTTGCTCCAGTTACAACAACATCCTAATCCACCCCAACGATCGTGGGAAAGCAGCATTTACCACCTTGTTTGGGCTCTTTGAACCAAAAGTCATGTTCTTCGGGCTGTGCAACTCACCAGCCACATTCCAAGCATACATGAACCAGACTTTCCAGAAAGAAATCAACGAAGGATGGATGATCGTTTACATGGACAATATTCTCATTTTCTCAAAATCTCTAGAAGAGCACCGGGAAAGAACCCATAGAGTGCTCAAAATCATCCGCAAAGAAACTCTTTTCCTGAAACCGGAAAAATGCCTCTTCAATGTCCAAGAAGTCAACTACCTTGGCATGATCATTCGCCCCGGCCAAGTAGCCATGGACCCTGCCAAACTTTCCAGAATCAAAGACAGGCAAACCCCCACCTCTGTCAAAGAAGTCCGATCGTTCCTCAGATTCTGCAATTTCTATCAACATTTCATTTCCCATTATTCTGACCTCACCCAACTTCTGATTGACTTAACCAAGAAAGATGCTAAATTTGACTGGACACCTCCCTGCACAGAATCATTTGAGAAACTGAAAAAATGCATCCTCTCTGAACCCGTCCTCCACAACCCTGACCCCTCCTGACAATTCACCCTCACAACTGACACTTCTCTTGTAGCCACAGGAGCAGTCCTCCAGACCGACGAGAACGATGCATACCATCCTTGTGGATACCTCTCCCAATCCTTTAACCCTGCAGAACGAAACTACCAAGTATATGACCGGTGTAAGAATACAACACAGAGTGGGGCTATACTAAGATGGCTCCAAACTGATATCTTTATGTTGTGGTCTTGCACTGCCTAGTCTGCTATACTTGGTGAGACAAGTGCGTTCGACCCAGGGGTCTGCGGTCTGGGAATAGTTTTGGGGGTCAGTGAGTGATGTGGGGTCAATAGTCCGAGTGCGGGAAACAATGTCCGAAGGTATAATTACAATGTCCGATGCAAAAAGCGTCGGGTCCGATGTTTTCAAACCGGTTCTGGTTAGCTCCGCACATACTACAGTGACAAATCTCCGTATTATATGAGTGAACGGACGTACATAATATCCCATATGATATGGGCTGATGGTAAAATATTCTCGACTATGACAGATGGGCCAGGAGGGATATTATTCCCGATGGAGGCGGGTGGGCCCATGTGGGGAATATGTAGAGTAGATGAGTGGGCCGATGGACATGGATATTATATAGACGGATGGGCCGAGGTAGTTGGATATTATGTAGATGGGTGTACCAAGGTAGGTGGGTATCAGATAGATGGGTATGCCGAGGGTACTTGTTATCACATACACGGGTGGGCCGAGGGTGTTATATAATATATTATATTAGATGGGTGGGCTGAGTGTGGTATATCATAATATATTATATTAGACAGGTGGGCCCAGGTGAATGATAATTGTAGACATGACGGAGCTGAGGTAGTTGTATATCATCCAAATCACAGGAGGTAATCATTCAAAGTCATCTAATGATAAAGGTCATAAGTGCCAGAAAATCGAGCACCCAGTACAGATGCAAACATGTAGTACCGGCTACCGACTACTGGAATTTGAGTGAAGCTTACTGAGTGCCAGCAGCAGGTGCTCTCTTGACATGGACTTTAATGGTGCTTAAGTTGTCTTGCAGAATGTGAAAACCGGTGTGCAAAACTTGTGTTGCCCTGAGAGATGCGAAGTTCTGACTACTGAAATTCGAGTGAAGCATACCAAGTTTCAAGACCCGGGTGTTGACAAATGAATATCTGATATCCAGCACACTCCAAATCATCTGATATTTTATTGAGCAATGGATGATAATACATCTTTGAAAGCCAACATCATTCAAGGCTCCTTTATCTGATCCTCACTATCTCCACCCCCTTTAACACCAACTTCTGCGTGTTCAGCATTCAGCTTCTGATTTCCCAAGATCAACTTCATCATGAATGGTTCTTCCACTTCTCCTATTGAAATAAGCCTCTGGCGCACTTGGGCCCTGACTGTCACTCATGAGGCATGTGAATATACCGAACAGAAATTCAATGCAGAGAAGATAGGAGGAGACCTGGTGATACCTTCTCCTAACCTAGACACTGATCTGGTGATGGCTTGTGATCAATTGGTAGATCGCCTCATAAAGGCATATAAAAATCCCAGTGTGTCTTCCTGCAGATTCCGAAAGTCATTTGATCATTCAAATTCCTTCATCACAGTTCAGATGCAGATCGATATAGCAAGATATAGCAAATTGATCTCCCCGATGAACACCAGGAATAATGAAGAGAAAGAGGAGAAGTTGCTTGAGAGATGTCCTCCTGGCCATGAGGGGACAAAGTTGGTCGACATACCTGCCACAATTCTCGATGTGTCCGGTACCATCATTGCATGGTACCTCCCAGACACCCTGACAGCTGCAACCCAGGTGTGTAATATACATGGTTACTCAATGGATATTGAATATCAAATGGTACACACAGAGGGAAATTTGGGCAGCCACCAATCTGCTCACTCTGAGTCTGGAAAAAAGTGTAAAGGTCGATGGCAATTGGCGAACTAATTCGGAGTGGTTCAAACACAGCTCTGAAGATGTTGGCTTAACTCCCGGGTGCATGAATTTATCTCTGGCGTGGTTTCAACAGGGGCACAAGGTAGGATCTGATGAGATGGCGATTTCGGTAGTTAAATTCACCAATCCCATAGAATTTGTCAGATCCAGAGGTATCTGCATCATTGAAGGGACCATTCAGTGAGAAAATCCTTAAGGCTATTGCAAGGCCAGCAGCCATCACATCAGCAGCACTCAGGGTGATGCATCCAGAGCAGTACTGGGCAGGGTTACGAACCTTTGCAACCCTCAGAGAAAAGGCAGAAAGCAAGGAACTGCCACAGATGTCTGAGACCCTCCAGTACTGGGCATCGGTGTTTAACTCCCTCTCCATCATTTCCAATCGGCAAACCCCGAATCATCGAGACCATTTATCCATTCTGGAATGCTTTGATATTCTCACCACCATGGGGAATTATTCCAATGCTCACATTAGTATGCCAAGCCTTCAGCTGGAGTTCAGGTACAATCCTGGCTGTATGATTGCATTTTCCGGAAGGATTGTTAGACATGGGGTTCATGAAGTGGAAGGGGATCGGGTTGCGTGGGCATGGTATATGAGGGATTCTGTTCATATTTATGCTGGGGTTCCCTCATGTGGATTGGCTGGGGTGGATTGCCCACCCTGACCACCCTATGAAAGATCAAACAAGTAGAAAGTGTAGTTACCAGTGTTAGTACCTACTCTGGAATATTAAGTACCAATAATTGATTGCCAACAATGAAGCATTGAGGACCAACATTTCCCAAACTTGATATTAGGGATATGGGACCCAATACTTGGAACTCGGAACTTGATATCTAGACCTTAATATCCGGAACTCGGAGGTCAATATCCTGAACTCGATATCCAGAACTCGGTAATCGGGACTCGATATTCGGCACTTGGAACTCGATATTCGGAAGAGACTTGATATTAGGGATATGGGACCCAACACTCAGAACTCGGAACTCAATATCCGGACCTTGGAATTCGATATCTGGAACTCGATAATCAGGACTCAACATTCGGAACTCAGCAATCCATATTCAGAACTCGATATTTGGAATTCGGTAATCGGGACTTGATATTTGGTACTTGGAACTTGATATTCAGAAGAGACTTGATATTAGGTATTTGGGTCTCTACATTTGGAACTTGGAACTCGATATCCAGACCTTGGAATTCGATATCCAGAACTCGATAATTGGGACTCAACATTCGGAACTCAGCAATCCATATTCGGAACTCAATATTCGACTCAATATCCAGACCTCAATATCCTGAACTCGATATCCTGAACTCGATATCCGGAACTTGGTAATCGGGACTCAGTAATCGGGACTTGATATTTAGAACTCAGAACTTGATATTCGGACCTCGGAATTCAATATCCAGACCTCGGAATTCAATATCCGGAACTCAATATTAGGAATTTGGTAATTGGGACTCGATGTTTGGCACTTGGAACTAGATATTCGGAACTCGGAATTTGATATCAGGGACATGATGTCAGGAACTCGATGTCAGTGGCTCGGAACTCGATATTTGGAACTCAATACTTGGGACTTAATATTGAATTCTAGATATTTAACATCTGGAACTTGATATTCGGCACTCAGGATATAATATTATGTTAGATATTTGGAAGTTGGTATGTGATTTTCAGTACTCATTACATCATATATGGAACATGGACTTCAAAATTCTGAACTCAGTGACTAGGGCTGCTCTCCTCTGCCTATCTTCAATCTGTCTAGGATGGTGGTGTACATCTGCATCTCTGCCATCTTATCATGGATGCCTGCCTGTTGCTCCTCAAGCAATGTCAGGAGGTGTTCTCTAATCCACCTCAGTCCCATAAGTGCTGGAACCGAGGTTTGATCCACCTGCTCTGGAAGAGTGAGACCATCATCCTCAACACCACCCTAGAACAGATAAGTCATGAATCAAGGAAATTGAATAAATTTCTTACTAGCCAATGCTGGTAGTGAAAGATACAGCAAGTCATTACCCGATCCCATTGCCATGGTTCATTCAGGATTGCAGTTTGTCTCATCCACCATGGAGTATCATAGTCGGATACAATCCAGGATGGATCTCCTGGATCTGCGAGATCATGAAACTCACATAGTGGGATGAAAAGATGTGGTCCGGAACCATGTTCCAGGTGTGCCCGGGAACCAACTGAAGAATGTGAGCGACTGGTTTGGGAATCACCAAAATGATGTTCCTTGCAGCTGAGTACTGCAGGATCGGTGTCACAAATGTCTGTCGGGAATGTCAGCATTGACTGCCAGAGTCATCAGTGTCTTACAGTGATCTCCCATTGCAACCCAGCTTTGAAGTGCATGATCTGATGTAGAAGAGGAATTGGTAGTGTGGTTATATGGGTGGTATGAGATATACTCAAGTAGTCCTCGATGAGCGAGATGTGTGTCGACCCAAGGGGATTGCTACTGAGAAAGTTCCTCTAAGTTTTAAATGTGGAGGGAAACACTGGACCGGGCGCTTGGTCAAGCCTGGTAAGGCGCGCGAGCGAGCGAAAGCGACACGAAGCACTAATAGGCGACGGCAAGTGACAACGAGCGACGATGCGTGATTATGAATGGTAACGCACGTGCGGGTGGTGGAGCGGAGCGACTCTTAATGAGTCGGAAAATGACTTGACAGAGTTTCTAGTAATGTACGGCGGCGGGCGCTCGTATTGTACTTAGATACTTATTGTTGGTCAGTAGATATGACGAAGAACTTAGACTTAGAGTCCAATGATGTGCGTGCAGAAAGATGTTTTTTATACAGTATAGGCACGAGTATATATACTAAGTAGTGTTAAGCGCTGTCAGGCACTAAAGTGAACCGAGAAGTGAAGCGGATATGAGATAATATGTAATGTAAGGGTCCATGACAAAACATACAGAATATGTCCATAAGCGCCGGAGATATGTCAGAATAAATGGGAATATAGTGGGAATATGCACCGATGAACCGAACGGACATGGAATGGATGGACGGAACTGGGGATGCACGCGCCAGTGCGCGACCGAAGTGCCCGTGCGCGCAAGCAGCCGTCGTAGCGCTCAAGTGCATTGAGTGAGATATGGGTCGCGCTATATTAGGGAGTGATTGGAACATTGGGATTTTAGGTCCTTGCAAGCCCACAGAGATATCAGTCTCTACACCAAGCCAAAGGAGGAACATTGTTGTTTGAAGCCTCCGACTTATATTGGGAGACACATGCTCGGATGCGCGATGCAGACATTGACATTGTAGCTGAAATGTCTGCCAGAGTGAGAGTGAGGGGTCAGTATTCATTCAGGGAATTCTGAGTGTCAGAAGTGGATGCAGGAGCAGGATGTAATTCAGGCATGGCTTATGCAGGAGTATGATACTGGCAAGCACAATGAGAATTGGTTCAGATGTGAAGATATCAGTCACTGATGGATGAATAAAATTTTTAAACTCTGACATGGGCTGACCTGGCCAATTCCCGAGACTACATTTGTGGGTCAAAATAAGTGTTTCATATCATCGGCAAAAAACAATTCATTCATCTAAAGCATTTATCAACATGGTCTGCAGGTCTTAAAATGCTGCCTGGGCATCCTGTGCCAGTAATGAATACATTCTGAATTGCCTTCTGGAGTAAGATGCATGACCCAGAAGGCGTTTCACTAATGATTCCTGCATTTGGTCACCCCACTGGGTTGCTTTCCACATAAAAAAGTTGCATGTCCAATCCATCTCCAATTGGACCAATATCATTTCTTCCTTCCATCGGTCCTGTAGTGCCTTTTCCTGAAGCCAATGAACTTGGTAAACTTCAGATGGGTCAGGTCAGGTCAACGTCGAGTGTGTCAAGCATGCTTGAACTCACATTCCTCATTCCACGATTGATCAGGACCCCCCAACTCTACTTCGACAGACCAGAACCAAGAGAGGGTAGGGATCCGCAGGGGTAAACCAGCGGGTGTCCAGAGGACAACCCGCACCCTTACCCCTCAAGTACCCGTACACGCACCCATGGGTAGCCAGGGGTATGGGTGTCTGTGCGGGTCCGCCAAGGGTCAAGGGTGTTGCAGGTAGAGGTATACCCGCGATGCAATTCATGTGCGCAGCTTACTATGGACGATACAATAGTGGTGATAAGTACTACCTAGTCTAATTTAATGCAGTCCCATCCATCATCAAGTTCGTTGTCCTCGCTGTCAACGTCGGGAAGGCTCGCAACCGACTGGATGTCCTTGTCCTTGACTAAACCTAATTGGCTCCACAGGCCAACACACAGCAGTGCGTGCGTCGTCTGTGCAGTAAGCCTGTTTCGGACATGAGAAAGTAATAAGTGTCCGCGGCTGAAGATGTGTTTCACATCAACAGACGTTGCTGTAGTATACACTATTAAAAATATGCATGGACTCGAAAAAAAAACTTACCTGGGATGGTGAGATAGTCTAGTGCCATTCGTGATAGCCGCGGATATGTCTTGCAGTGCCCATGCCACCACGCAATGGCATCTGTAACCCTCTCAACATCAACCCTAAGATACGCATCGAGTTTGTTGAATGAGGATCCATCACGAGGGTTGGGTCCTGCGAGAGCGGGTAGGTGGTCGAATATGTTGCCAGAATCATCGTCCTGAGTGTTTAAAGCTAGTATCAGTAGCAAGAACATATAAGACAATGTAATTTATGCACCTCATCAATATCTTGACTCCCCAAGGCACTCACATCGACCGTGACTGAGCGGGAGGCATACAAGCGCCGAAATTCATCTCAAACAAGTTTTTCAGCTGTTTCAATCCACTGTGGCTCCCAGCCTGCAGACCTAAAGTAAGAGAGTTTATGACGAGGGTGAAGAACTAAGTAAAAATGAGTATGGCATAGTAAAAGTAAGGAAGAAAGACCCACCCATAGTGATACAATAAACCTCAGATCGGTCCGTCATCGAGTAGTACCGGTTAAGTGTGCGTTTTGCAAGTCCAAGTGCGGCATGTATGGCGGGTTCTAGCGTCTGCTTTTTGACGATACCATTGGTGAAGACTTGGTCGATGTGATCGATCGCAGGGATGACCATAGCTAAGTTTGGTGTCGAATGAGAAAAGTATAGCATTGCGTCTTTGAGAATCTGTAACATTGTTAGCATTGTCATGTCACATGTGTCACTTCTTACCTTCAACACATCCCGCAATTGTCGAACTAGAGCCCATCCGTCCTTGGTCAGCTCATAATCACCAAGCCCCAATTTCTGCATGTCCGTTATCTTCTCAATTGCCGCTCAGTATTCCAATGCAAAATCAAGCATATCGAAGGTTGAATTCCACCTGGTGGATACATCTCGCGGCATGATTCGCACACAGAGATCCAAGTCCTCGATGATCTGCTTCCATGCGAGCAGCACAAGAGTCGTTGAATGGATGATTTTGAATGCAAGTTTCCATAGCTGCGATCTGTGTTAGTTTGTGCAGGTGAGCCTTGCTTATTTAACACTGTCACTTTCACTAAGACAAGTTTCACTGGACGGATACTGTCCATCAGATCCTCACGCTCATCCTCTTGCAACAGCTGTAATTTGTCAACCCAGCCCTCGTCATTGTCTTCGCTTTCCCGGTGTAGAAACAACGATACTGAGAGGAACAAATGATGCTCCTGACTGTATCTATAAATGTTGTGAGGTCGCGCGTTGCCTAGTCTGCTATACTTGAGACGACAAGTGCGTTCAACCCTAAAGGGGAAGCGAGTGCAGCAAGGATCTAGAAGTAGGCGCTGCTGGTTGGCTAATGTGAAGCGCGGGAAAGCGCAGGTGCGCGCAAGGCGCAGGAAGCGAAGGCGCGTGCAAGGCACGGGAAGCGAAGGTGCGTGCAAGGCGTGGGAAGCGCGCACATGCGTGAGCGGAAATGAGAGAGTAAGATTGAGTTTGCTTAAGTGGTGATATGATGCAAGACCAGAGATGTGAGTGCGAGGTGCCAAGGAATAGATTGCAACTATATTCTGCTAGGTAGTAAGTGGGTAAGTGGGAGGTAAAGTGGAAAGTGAGTTAGGTGAGTAATATTATGTACTGCTGGCGCTTATATACGGTGCCTAAGCGCTGTCATGCGGAGCTGAAGCGCTACCGAGTGAGGTATGTAAAGATATATGTAAGTAAGGGTCCATGATAAGAATAAAGGTGGTATGATATGCAAATAAGGGCAAATGGAAATACGTGCACTAGAGAACTTGGTGGACAGTGGATGGATGCGTCTGGATGGCTGGCGCTATAGGGCGCTCAAGCGCGCGCATGTATACATTGTAAAGCGCGGGAAGTCGTGCGTGGGAAAGCTGCGCCTCGTAAGGGAATAGCTGCGGATAGCATACAGAGTGATGCTGCAAGTTCGTGCTGTGTACTCCCTAGTGAAAACTGCCATATCACACAATGAGAGGCATGAGTCTCTACACCGGTCCTTGTTTGGATCTCCGTCTGCAGATTGAGTGTCCTCAATCTCTATATTCCTGGTAAGTTTATCTAGTTCTGGATCTGTGCTACTGGTTGATTTTGTGTCAAACTCGTGAATCAAAGGCTTTGCCACAAGGTTCACGATATGCAAAAAGCATCGTGTTTGGTTTGTCTTGCCAGCAAAGTGCGCCACTTGATCCGCAAGCTCTGCGACAAGTGTATCATTGGATGCCGCATTATCTGCTGTGACACTCAATATCTGCCCAAGTCAGGTAAGAGTTTTGTGGAGTAACTAAACTAAAGTACCTTGTCTGATATGCCAAAGTCTTTTAGAATGTCTGCAAATGCATCTGCGAGATTTGCACCACTGTGAGACTGCAATATGTCAGCACATGCACCATCTTGTTCGAACTTTGGGTGAGTGTATTTATGTACCTTCGCTACCTCAACTATATCTAGTATCATCGAGAATGGCTGACCCTCATGCTCTAGGTGCACGAAGATGGCTACATAAGCCCTGTGATTGGGTGATGTCCAGGCATCTGTTCTGAAATTCAGTTCGCCGTTGTAATTCTAGTAAGTTGCTTTAGTTCACTGATCTTGCATACTACATTTTGCTTACTTGTAGCATCCATGCTATCTGTTTGTGAGTCTTGACAAAGACTTGCTTTATATCACGAGCAACTGTTGAGGGTGAAGGCATGTGATATTCCGGGCGCCCTGTCTTCATCAACTTTTGAAACCCTCGATCATTCACAGTTTCAAATGGTCTTAAACTCTCTGACACCCAATGCACGATCTCCACCCTAGGTCCTATCAATAGTGATATCATCAAGCAGATGGAAAACGAACCTTGTCTCTGTGCAAGTATGCTGTTGGTGTGAGTAGGTAACTTTACCTTTGCCTTTTCGCTCGAAAGAGGTTTTGATAGATCCCGTCTCAAGCAGATTCTTGACAACTCCATCTCGTGCAGCAGCAGTGTCCCTGTACTCCATTGCAGTTTGCAAGGCTGCCTCGCCCCAACAACTTTTTACATGCTTTCGCATGTTGCCAGTAGATTTTGCATCTTTCTTATCGAGGTATTGCCGAACCTTTTGTTTGCAGCCCTGTGCTGTACATTTGAACACATGGCAGCGATGGTTGTCCTGATATTCAATTTCTGGAGTGGGTTCGAAGAATGCATATATAGGTGAAGTCCAATCCTTCTTCAGCCTGTCTGCAATATTTTTAATGAAGTTTCTTAGTGATGTGTGAGTGGGTATTTACCTAGTTCCACTTCAGAGGATTCTCTAGGGTCATCAACTTCAATGTCATTCTTTTCAGATCCATCGGAGTCGATGATGATGGCATCTGAATGAGCGGCCTCGTCTTCTTCCTCAGTTTGAACAGTAGCTCAATATATGGATGGTGTAGTAGTATTGTTAGATTGTTCAATGTTAATAGGTTCTATCACTTTTGTACGTTTTGATGTCTCCATGGGGGTAGAAGGTTTATCAATAGCCTTTCGCTTCGCTTGCCTGCCTTCTGCTGCCATTGCAAGCACCTTCTCTGTGGGCCGTTGTAGGGATTCATTTCTGGCTGGGCTTGTAGAGACTGTTTTTACCTTACCTTATGTTGGCACCTTTGTAGCTTACATAAGCAAGTTATCTTTTCACCAGTTACCAGTAGGAGTCAGAGTACTCAGCAAGTTTTCATGATATTTCCTCTCCTCTGAGCCTTGAGCCTGGTCCAGAAACCCTTTAGGGTCGAATAGCAGCTAGGTTCTGCAAGACCCAACATTGTTCAGACTCACTCTCTGAATTGTTGTACCTTCACCGTGTTGTCCTTTTAGGTAACATCGTGAGATAGCAGGAAGGAACAGTCGTGAAAAGTTTTAGGCTAGAGTTTGCACTTGTGATGTGGTACCATATAGGTTATGGACAATTATTTGGCACAAGGGGGTACCGAACCGAGTAACCATATCAACTCTAAATATAATCTAAAGTCTAAGATAGACTTTCTGTATGTAAGTGCGGGGATTGGACCGAGTGCATGTCAATTCAGTGAAAGAGATAAGAATAATGCACCAGTAAATCAGTGAGGACTTAGGACGGACGGACGGACGGGTAGGCGTGAGAAGACCTGAGGGTAGGCGCACGGATGCGTGTGGAAGCGCGCAAGTGCGTATAAGGTGCGCGAACGAGGCGCGTACGTAGGGCGCGCGCGTGGGAGCGCGTATGACTGATCCTTCAGATAAGAGCTGGAATATGTAAGGAATATGTGGTTCATAGGGCCGTATGTCCAGCATTGAGAGGCGCGAGTCTCTACAACGGGTCACGAGATCCCTACCATGACCCCTAGGGGTTACCCATACCCCTGCTGATCCCTAAGCGAGGGACTCGTTTCGCTGACCTCGGGCATTTGGATCTCCGACGGCAGTAATGATTTTTAGCTGATCACGCAGCAGGGGTTTGTATTTCTCAAGCTGGTCTTGCCTGGGCTCACATTTCATTATTTGCTTCCAGGTCTTGGTATATATACTGGCATGGAGGGACACTGCCTGCTGCACTGACGTCACCTGGGACCAAGCTCGAGTTTTCAGGGCTTGAGATTTGGCTTGCCTAACTGTTGTTCGGAACAGGATAGCCTTGTTGCACAAGTGAATTCGTAGGTTGTGAAGGGCATCATTTGCCTGCCCTTCACGAAGCGACATCTCCAGCGGAATGAGATCCTCTGCCATAAAGCATCTGCATTGATCTACCCCAAGGTTTGATGGCAATGGGATCACAGTGAGCTCAGGGGAGTTTGTCCATGTATTTTCAGATGTCTCAGTGAAATCATCGAGATCATCGAGAATGTCTATGTTCAAGTTGTCAGGATCGTCATCTGCATCAAATCCTTCTCCGAGATGCGTAAGAGCAGACTGAGTAAATCCATCTATCTGGCCTTGGAGACGATTGTGTTGCCGGGCGATGTCTAATCTCTGTGTCTCCATAGTTCTTCTTCCAATTCTCCAGACCTCGATGAGCAATGCAATTTGAGCCTCCTCAATAGCCAACCCCATTGATATCCATGTTGCCACAGATCTCCGAGAAGGTGCTGCATTACAGGCATTACCCTCCTCCAGCAGTCTAAGCTCGATCTCCTTTTTGCTCGGCGCTGAGTTCAACATTAGTTCAGACTTCGATGGAGATATGGTCAACTTACCCTTCTTGATATTAATCTCGTATACATCCATCGCTGCAGGATCATTGATTCTGCTGGACTGAGCGATCCTCTCGCTGGCTAACCATTTGGTCTTTAAATTGGCGGGTGCTGCTTCATCGAGTCTGTCGAAAGCCTTTTCACTTTTGGTGATGCCATTTTTCGCCTGCTTGTATTTATGGCAAAGGGTCCTTTTCATGCAGATCATCTTGCAGACGTTGGAATCGTTCATTTGAAAATCAAGACATTCCTGTTGATGTGGGGAAGACATTCCCCGAGCAGCAGGGGAAATTAGGTTGAGACATGCCCATAGGGTCTCCATGATCTCTCCATCTATCCGGCCAATGCCTTCAATGAAATTCGACACATATTGGACATAGCAGCTGTCCTGATGTCCATGCACATGCCACAACCCAATGCTGGGAATGATGGTCAATTCCGGTACCATTTCAAGAAATCGGCTTCGATCCACCCAAACCTGAAAGTGCTTGTTGTATTGACAGTTGATGTCATAGAAGGTGACAGCCCTGGTAATGCCTTCCATGTTGTGCTGGGCAACCTCACAAAGGGCGTAGTCCATGTTCATTTGTCTGCAAACGATGCATGATCAACTCATGAATGTCAAACTTCATGTTCAGCTTGCCTTTCACCTTTCTGAAAATCTACCATCGCATGAGGGACAAAGCAACCATGTCGGGCACAGGCAACTCCCCCGATACCTGTGGACTCCAATTTGTGCCGAGCCACATTTGCTTGATTTACTGCCCAGTGATTGTTGCAGCTCGATTTTTCCACAGTGTCAGCTGCCTCTGCCAGATGATTTTTATACCTCTCCTTTCCCACCATGAACCCCAGCCCATCGGAAAGCCAAACTTCATCAAATGGCTTGATGGGATGCAGATGTTCGGCTTTGAAATTTCCGTCCATTACAAATGATCGCGTGTATTTCCAGCTTGGAGTTCTTATTATCACTGAGGTTACTTCAGTATTGAACAAGACTCACTCATCAAGTGATTCATCCCCTGACAAGGATACATTAATCCCAGGCTGAGGACATGCTGGGCAGAACAGTGCGAGATCTTCGGCATTCAGGGTGTCAGAACAATGGCCAAAGCCATACCATTTCATGGTCTTCAACTGCCTCCACTGTCGAGTGACTCTCATGAGCTCTCTGTATTGGTCCTTGGTAAGTGCTTTGTCAATATAATGTTCTTTAGATGAAGGAGATATAGCATTACCGGAACAAGGTGAGGAAACATGCTCAAGGTCATTCGCCGGAGCTTGCTGTAATAGTTCATTGCTGAGGTGCCGCATTCAAGGTTGTCCAATAGAAAATCATCGAGCACTCTGAAGGTGAACACAGTCTTCAGCCTGTTGAATGATGCAGGGAAAAATCCATGTCGAAATATTTGAATGTCTGGACTCATGGCATTTGGACAATCACAGCATCGAACCTCGAGGCAATGAACTCCAGACTTGTCAACTATGACCATAGTGTTTTCCTTTGGCTGGAACTCAGGTCCCAATACAGATGGTAGATCTTCAGGCTCAAACTGGTCTTCAGGTTCGTCTCCTTCAAACAAATCCCACCTATCCCTGAGTACTGGACATTGTTTGCCATCATGACTGAGGTGTATGACGAGTCCAACATGAGCAAGACAACTTTGCTCGAAGAATTGACCATTCCATTGACTGATCCAGTGGAAAGAATTGCAATGATGTTGATTCCTGCAACAGCTGGTGCAATAGAGTGGCTCCCCAAGACAATCTTGACATTTGTAGACCCCATCCTGGTCACACATGACACATCTCCTATCTTCTGGTGGAGCTTCTTAATCCAGGAGGTGATATAGATATGATTCCTGCCTTGGCAGCCATTGCCTGAGGTGTCATATCCCACGTTCCGGACCCGGACCTATCACACACATCATTTCCAGAAGTCTGGATCCGGCCGATGTCTATCTATGTCCGGATCCGACACGCGTCTAACTTCCGCGCCTTATCCCTTTGTACATTCCTACTCCAGTTAGACTATATCATTTTCCGTACCTCATTTCATTTCCGCCTTTATTTTCATCTGTTCTAATCTCCGGGTTCATTTACTATTTTCTGATAGACTAGCATTTGACTTTTCTATACTCTCCGTCCACAGCTTTGTAAAGCTTCGGACTGCGTGTCTCTGTTCTCCGATAAGTCCTCAGTAGTATATAAACCCTGTAGAATCTATGTACATCCTTAGTTCGAATATCATCTTAGACTCTGCTCATTCCCTCCTCCGTCCGACTTGAGTTTCTCTCTCATCGACCTCTGCTCATCTTAGGATTGATTCCTATAGACTTGTCACCTCCGCCTCTACCTCTGGTAGTCCTCCGCTGTTTCCTTTCTAGTTCGGACTTCGTCCAGATTAGTCTTATCTCTTGTTCCCGAACGTCCGCCGGAATTCCCGTGCATCGGACATCGGACTCCGGACATTGCCCGACGCCCTCCGGACATCGTCCGGTAACCTTCGGACATTGTTCAACAGCCTTTGGAAGTTAAGGGCACGTACTCGGGTAAGGGGCGCAGCGCACGAGCTGAAGCCAAGCCCTTTGGATCCGACCTTGGAGCACATTCTTAACAGAGGTAGTCATTCTGGCTCTGCATTTTTATACTTAGCAATATTTGAATGACACTCCAACATTTTACATTAACTTGCCATTGTTTTTGGGAGTTGCAAAGGCTCAAATGAGCCTTGGTCTTGCTCATAAGTATTGTCAGGAAAGTCTTCCCAAGGAGGTGGTGCTTGAACAGGCTGAAGTATTTGTGATTCCAGGGGAGAGTTAGGCATGGACCTGTAGGCATGTTGTCTTGCACTTGCAAGTGGGACCTTGACCCAAGTATTCCTACCTTTGCTCCCTCTTGCTTCTACCCTGTGGGATTTTTTCAGTGGGGTGCATCGACCTATCTTCATCTTATTTTCTAATGTTGCAAGAAAAGCATTAGCTAAGGAAGGTCGCACGAATAGTTATTCCAATGTGATGTTATGCAGTCTTGTTGGTTCATTACAAATTTATTTCCATTAATGGCATCATGTCCAATATGGGTTGATTAACCAACTGTTAGGCTTTGCTCAAAGTTGAACTTCGAACCATTATTACTTCCACCTTGCTTACCCTCAGCACATTCTGCAATCTGATTCACCATGGCAAGATCAGGTCATTCCACTCACTTGACTTCGGGAAGACATAGGGCACGTCAACCACAGACACAGAAGCTCACGGAAAACGAAATTTCAGAGCTGAAGAACTACCTTCCTGAGTGGACTTCTGCCAAATGGAGTGAGAAGCGGGGAGTATTCACTTCCATAGCTAGGGCTGCCAGGTTATTTGCTCCTAAGGTGTACCAAGGACAATGGAAAAAGAGGAAGCAGGTGATACATCCTTGTTGTGTTGAAAAACCAAAATTTTAATGTCTTATTCTTCCTTCAATGCTCAGATGTACCAGACATGGTTGTACAACAACAAGAAAAAGAAGGAAAGGAAGGACATGCTAAGGTATGGGAGGAAATGGATGCCTAGGATGGTGATCTACCAGCAGAAGCGGGAAGAGGTGCTAAAGAGGATCGAGGACGAGTTGGGGGCAAAGCCAGGAGATCTGGGTATGTTCAAGCATTATCAGGCTGCTGTGAAGAGAGTCATGGCTGAATTGTCCGATGACGAGTTGGAGAGGTGAAAGAAATGGCCAAAGAATGGTCCAACAACTTTCCTCCTCCCGAGATACAAACACAGGTCGCCCGAAAGAAGGGACCTGCATATATGGAGCACTTTTTGAACGAGATGTGGAGGCAATGCAGGATGAGAGTTTTTGTGTTGTCAGCCTGGAAGAATGAACAGGGAGAGGTGCTGTTCTGGATGTAAGTGAATTTTATTGGTCATCGCAGATCTTTCATCTCAATCAATATATTTCATGCAGGCACAATGATAACGAGGCATTAGGAGATGGGGACAGCTTCATGAAGACAAAGGACTGGGAGGACATCGAGCCAGTTTGGCAGGAGTACGCGCAGGAACAGTTTGGTGAGTGTTTGAATTGTGGATACAAGAAGACATGTGTTGATCTTAGTGATGATAGGTGCTGGGGCATGGGATGGAGCCCGACAGGTGAAGGGAGGTCGCAAAAGAATCCGAAAACCAGCCTTCAAGCTCGAAACTGACGGGGACAGGATGCCATTGCTTCCGGACATCACAGACACGAAACTTGAGGATAAAAAGGCCATAGTGAGGGCTTTTCTTACATCGCACTATCATGAGTCTATCCTTGCTACATCCGAGACGTTGTTGAATGCATGGACACAGGGATCTGTTCTGGGATTGACAGGGCAGTCGTGCCATGGAGTGCCATCTTAGAACATCAGGATGACTTTGTGGCAAGAAAGTATCTTCTGGTGGATGTTGACTTGAAGAAGCCTTCCAAGTTGCAAAATTGGGACACCATGGCCTTGCCCAATTTCTGGTATGCTTGGCAGGAAACAGGTGAAGGTCGAACAGTCATGTTCAAAGCATGGAAGAACAAAGATGGCGACATAGTAGCATCAGTTGCATCTGGCAAGTCGCCTTCCCATCAGACCGGTGAAGGTACAACAATTTAGATGGTGAGTCTGAACAATGTTGGGTCTTGCAGAGCCTAGCTGCTATTCAACCCTAAAGGGTTTCTGGACCAGGCTCAAGGCTCAGAGGAGAGGAAATATTATGAAAACTTGCTGAGTACTCTGACTCCTACTGGTAACTGGTGAAAAGATAACTTGCTTATGTAAGCTACAAAAGTGCCAACATAAGGTAAGGTAAAAACAGTCTCTAGTACAAGCCCAGCCATAAATGAATCCCTACACCGGTAAGGTCAGAAAGCAGCGGAGGGTAGTTATCCAAAGGCCTCAGGATTCCTCAACTGAAGCCGAGAGTGATGCTAACAGCGACACTCATGACATGGAGGATGATGCTGATGATGCAGGCTATACTGTGACAATGATACATTATATGACTGGCAGAGCCAGTAATAGGTAATACAATAATGATTGTACTGCAGAGATGAACTGGGATGTGTAGTAGTGATGTATCATCAATGTATCACTGGAGGATTGCTGCTAATCCAGTCCCTGGCTTCCCATCAAGCTTAGTCAAGCTCGTACCTTACTTCCTTTCTTCTGAAATTAGCTATATTTGTAGCTACATTATTTATATCCTGCTTCCTTCATTTGTCAGCGCCCAGTATCGCCATACACCTGGTATTTTGAGCCTGGCTCTAGGTACAGGAGCCTGGTTCTAGGTACAGAGATTGTTACTCATCCAAATCAGGTCAAACGCAACAGAAATTTGACTAAGTCCCAGTACTAAGTCAAACGTGAACTTGGTGTTTCAGTCCTTATGGTAGACTCAGACTTAAATTTACATCCCAGGCATGAGATCTTGAGACATGACAGACTAAAGCAATGTTATTTCAAAATATACTTTAAAACATGCGCAGTATACTATGATATATATGAGGTAAATAACAGACGATATTGAACAAGAAACCAATAATGTGACTATAAGCAAGGACAAGGTTTTACCTAGTTTGTCCCGATGGCATTGGCAGCGGCTGCCCGAGAGGACTGGAATTGCTGCCGTTTGCCCCGGCCTCCCTCAACAGGCTGTGAGTTCTCATTGGAGACCATCTCTGCACCCCCTCTCTTCTGACGCTTCACCTCAAGTGTCGCGGAATTCTCTGCATTGGTCTTCCTCCATTTAGAAGTTGTTGTCGCTGGCGATGTCCCAGCAACTGCAGCAGTCCCTCCAGGACAGCCAGAACTGGACATCTGTGCAGGAGAAAGAGGTGCAGCAGCAGGAGCCATAGGATGAGCGGGAGTCAGAGGATCAGGAACCACCGTAGAAGCCTCAAGTTGGGCAGGAGTTTGCCCAAGGGTTGGAATTTGTGTGGGAGTGGGAATCTGAATTGGAGTCTGTTGAGTAGACAATAGATGACAAAGATGAGGAGGGGACCTCAGGCTCTGAAAAGTCGTGTTGTCAGAGTTGCTGCTACAGGGATTGATGAAACTGAAGTTGAACACGTCAGGGAGGGGGATATCATGATTAATTCTTGATGCAGAAGATAAGGGAGAGAACGATAAAGAAGACAGCAAAGACAGTAGTGGAGAAGAAGGAGGTAGTGGAGAAGAGGGAGGTAGTGGAGATGGTGGTGTGTAGTTCGGCAGCATGGGTAGAATTGTTTGATTGAAGTCTAGGTCGATGCTGTTGTCTTGAGGATTGGGGGGGGGGGGGGGGGAATATTGAAAAAAGTTATATGCTGGCTCTGGTGTGTGAGTCAGTGATGTATCAGCAGGAGGGTTTCCCTGTCCCGAAAGTGCAGGTGATAGATCCGACAGTGATGACGATGGTTCCAACAGTGCAAGGAGTGATGTATTACTATCAGGTGTGATGTGCATAAGAGTCGAAGTCAAAGGGATGCTGGCCAGTGATATATCAGGTGTGATGTGCATAAGAGTCGAAGTCAAAGGGATGCTGGCCAGTAATGTATCAGGTATGACGTTCATTGGAGAAGTATTGGCGAGTGATGTATCATTGGGAGGGATACCCTCAGGTGTAATGGCCTTTGATAAGAGTACTGCAGCATCGGCTACTTTTTGATGAGCTTAAAACAGAGACAATAAACCATTGGACAACTCACAAAACGCCCGGGACGCAAATTCAAAGTAGGGTACCATGATGCTCTCCTCAAAGTTCGGAAATATGTGGTTGAATCTACTGCCAGTGGTAGTCGTCCCAATGTGCAAACTACTGACGTCGAGTTTGCCGGCGTTCATGGGGTCAGGGCCAGCGAGCAAGATACTAAAAGTCCAACCTGTCGCATCGTGCAACTCGGTGAAAAAAGTCGACAGAATCTCCGTAAGTCTGGATATGATCCTGCCTGTTGATCAGTGACAATCAAGTAATAGATAATACGAATCACTTACAAGTCCTTCGACAGCTCCTTCATTTCATGATTCACATCCTTCTCCCTCTCTTCCTTCATCTCTTGCGCCAATCTGGTGACTTCTTCTTTCACCTCCGCAGATTCATTTTCCCAGCAGGATGCAAGTTGTTTGTGAACAACCCGTTGAAGGTACAACAATTCAGAGAGTGAGTCTGAACAATGTTGGGTCTTGCAGAACCTAGCTGCTATTCAACCCTAAAGGGTTTCTGGACCAGGCTCAAGGCTCAGAGGAGAGGAAATATCATGAAAACTTGCTGAGTACTCTAACTCATACTGGTAACTGGTGAAAAGATAACTTGCTTATGTAAGCTACAAAAGTGCCAACATAAGGTAAGGTAAAAACAGTCTCTACAAGCCCAGCCAGAAATGAATCCCTACACCGTATAGCCCGCTTCTTTGGTGCCAGTGCGTCTGCTACATCCTTCATAGCCTCGAGCTCCTCCTTGACTGCAGGCTGCACACGTGTCGCATAATACTTTTTGGCATATACCTCAGTGGCATTGAGAGGGCGAGTTTTTTTTCTTCCTGTTTTGACGGTGATGTTGGCAATGAGCTTGTTGACAACTGTGTTCCCAGCGGAGTTTGCGTGGCAGCCCGCCTTTGAATTACCAAAATCGTTGCGTAGTTTGACGATCAAACACTAGTAGGTATAACTGCGTGATTAACCAATAATTCAATAACACTTGATGAAATAAAATTACCGTCTGAAGAGCCTCCCTCACCTTGCCTATCTCCTCAAGCTCCACTTCAGGATCCAAGGGCGCATCTTTTAAAATGATGGGCCAATTTTCCTCCCATTTCTCAAAGAAGGGAGGCCAGAAACCGGTATAGTTTCCAGTTTTTTTGCATTCGAGGAACTTCTCTTGGTATGTCAGCACAAAAGCTTACTGGTCCTGTGAAAGCCAAGTACGAGGTGCCATCTATTATTATTTCATTTGATTACTGGTCAGCGCTAACATCGAGGCAATCTGGATGTACTTTTGCCATTACTTTAACCGAGTAGTTGCATGAGTGAGCCAAATGAAGACGCGAAATGAAAGGTTCAGTCACTGACGCGTAAAATGAAAGTATCAGTCACTGACGCGTATTACAAATTCCTTCAGCCACAGGCGCGTACTCCCAAATTATTAGTCAGTTATTCTTGGGCAAAAGGTATATCATTAGTACATATACAAAGATGCTACATTATGTGAAGCTAGTGTCGTCTTGAGTAATTTGGTGCTTCAACTTGCGCTGCCCATGTGCCTCAATCAAGTAGTCTACTCCCAGCATTACTGACTTATCATCTTGTTGTCCCTTCTTGTGGTTCTTTCCTTTTTGTCCGTGTAACTTGGCACACTGACTGGAAAGGTGTCCTTAGTACTGCTGTCGCCCATCAAAACGACATTATAGAAACATACCGTGTATAGTATGCCTGCCGATAAGTACGTGCAGCCGCCGTTTTTTCTTCTTCGGTGTTATATAGCCGTGGTTGTGCCATGTGCTAAAAGGTGTTTTAGAAGTAAGAGGTTTGAAAGTAAGTGGTTTGTGGGCTCTGTATTTGCGTAGGAGTTTTGAAACGCTTCAAGTAGGACAAAAATTTGGAGATTTACACGACTTTATTCCACCGACTTGCAATGAACCCAATCATATTCAAGGTCTTTCAAGTTTGCACTATCACTTGCTAATAAACTACACATCCCAAGTAACAGTACTCCCCCTCAGGTAGTCTCACTAGTTCACTCCACACCAATACCATTTTCCCTCATTTTCAAAAGAGCTCGCTTGATTCGGGTGATGGAGGTTCGTGTTGTGCAGACCAGTCCGATGATCAACATGTATTTAGCCTGCGAGTTCATACTATTTATCTTACTTGTTCAATCTACTTGCTTGAAGAATGGTTTGAGAGGACTGAAAGCTCATGTTTGATAATGCAAGTAACACTGGATATTACAAGAGTATCACGCAGTACAAAGAGGACTGGAAGCTCATGTTCAACAACATACAGACTTACAACCAGGAATACGTAGATGCTGACTATAAGTGAGACTAGACTACCTGCACTGCCTCACCACGTTCAATCGCGTGTCTCACAATCCCAACACCTTGTTCGACAGAGTCTACCTTGTGGAAGATGGCGCGCGAAACTCCAAGGACCTTGGGGCCTGTGGCATCCCTGCCCATGAAAATTTAGTAAACATGATAGACGAAGCATATCTATGCTTACCAGCCTGAGAAGACGCCAATGTAACGGCCCCTCGTAATGTAGTAGAGGGGCGCCTTGTCCTCAATAGGGATGTTGAAGTATTTACCGCTATAAGAACAAAGAGTTGAGTCATCAGCAAGAGACTGGGCTGCATTGGCAGCGTCCTCGTCATCGGAGTCCGAGATGACGGTGACAGACTCATAGGCATATGCTGCACCTAGAGCAGCGAAAGGAAGAGTGGTTGCAGCAGGAGCATCCTCATTATTAGGGAACTGCACAGGTAAACCCGTGGGTGTGCGCAGTCGGACCCGTACCCGTACCCGGAGATATACCCATACCCGTGGTGCGGTACGGGTTTGCTTGTGGGTATCAGCCAAACGGACCCGGGGTATTACCCGTGAGGGGTATACCCGCGGGTCACTACGAAGAGCATTGTAATGAATTGTAACAACAAATGTAATACTAATCTACTTGGACTCTGTCCCAACCCTCATTCATTGCTTCCTCTTCGCCAACGACATCTGGGAGCTTAGACGCGTGAATGATATCCTCAGATTTGACCAGGCCTAACTCGTTCCATAAGCCGACACAAAGCAGCGCACGTGTCGACTGCGCCGATAAACGATTTCTGACATGTGACAGGACAAGACGCCCACGACTGAAGAGACGTTCAACGTCTACAGAAGTAGCTATAGGCAATGTAAGCTTACAAGGCATTAAACATAATAATGCCACATACCAGGGATAGTTAGATAATCAATGGCCATGCGCGACAGGTGGGGGAATGATTTGCGATGTTCTTGCCACCAAGCGATAGGGTTGGTGACATGTTCCACGTCCGTACTAAGGTAACAGTCGAGTTCGGAGCCTGAGTTAGTAGGTTTGGGGACTGCAAGTGCGGGGAGGTTGTCAAAAATGTTGTCGCTCTAAGATTGAGTCAGTACAAACACTAAGTAAAAAGCAAAAAAGCAAAATACCATCAATATATTATCATTTGACTCCAAGACATCCGCCTCACGCCCCAAATCAGAGTCGGCATCAAGGGACAGGTATGAACGTTCGAATTCCTCGCGCACAAGTTGCTCCGCAGTTTGGATCCAGTTGTCTTCCCAGTCTGCTGCCTTGAAGTATAATAGCTTGTGTTGGGGATGTAACACTAGTATAATAATATTAACTGTCAGTAGAAACTAGAAAAAACCTAGATTGAATAGAACTTACCCATGGAGATCCGATATGTGTGAGACCTGTCTGTGAGCTGATAGTACCGGTTGAGTGTCTTTTTTGCGAGCTGAACTGCCGAATGAATTGAAGGCAGATATTTCTTGTTGCGCAAATAGGACGTGAGCATCTTGTCGACGTGATCCATTGCTGGTATCACCGTCGCAAGGTTAGGTGTTGCATGCGAGAAGTAAAGCGTGGCGTCCTTTAGAATCTAACAAGAGCAAACAATATAACATAAGCATATGCGCCAAAGCGTCAAACAAAGAGTATACCCGCAGCGCGGGTACGGGTAGGGGTAGGGGTATCATGACCTCAGACCCGTACCCGTACCCCAGTGGTACCCCTACCCATGACCCGTGCGGGTTACCCGTACCCGTGCAGTTCCCTACTCATTATCGGAGTCCACGACGGCAGGGGAAGGTGCAGCAGTAGGAGTTGCAGTTGCGGCAGGGGAGGCATCATCATGGGGAACAGGAGCTGCGGTAGGGGAGGCAGCATCATGGGGAACAGTAGCAGAAATGTCTGTGGTGGCCGTGGTAGAAGCAGCTGAGTCATTAGCAACAGGTTCTGCAACATTATAGAAGTGATGTTAGTCATGATGCATGATAGATCAAAGAAAAATACGGATTCACCTTCGGTGACATTTTGGCCGGTACCAGCCTCCTGCAATGCAGCAGATATAGCCATTCTGTTGTCAAGACCGAGTCCCAAGAGTATGTTGATAAGACCATCAAGCTGAACGGACACCAGAGTGTTGGTTTGACTAGAGGGAGATGTGCTTTGGGTCATAGTAACAGTAAGGCTAGAGTAGTAGTACGCAACAGTGGGTGATACATCACTCACCTCACGACAGGCATTTATGTAGCCCAGGTGTAGTAATTCGGGATCCTCGAGAATCATGGTAGCTAAGTCCAAAGAACGAGGATTGTTACTAATGGTCCATATTAAGCTGGACGTTGTGTATACGCAGAGGTAGAAGTTTCGCTGACTAAGCTCTAACCGCAGTCCTTCGTTCAACGATCATCAATAATCATATTTGACCACATTTTTTGTCTGATTTTGCCATCGGCCGAGCAGCAGCTGCAGCACAGAGGTCAAGCTCAAGTACGTGTACACCTTCGAATCTCTGACTGATATTCACCGTTTACGTAGGCTACAACCCTTCACGTTTGTCCAACGCCCCAATACCAGAACCATTTGGCAGGCTTCATTCCTGTTTGGTTCTTCTCACGACGGAGCTGATAGTGTGTCTTCCACAACATGTGGCTGGCGATATTCTACTTTGATGTGAGCAAGTCTTCCTGCTTATTACTATTACATGGAGACTTACTGTTTGAACGATCCATGATAGCGCCAACAACCTTGCATGCATATCATCGGTGAATGGAGTTTCAGCCGTGGATCCCGGCCACAACTTTTGTCGAAACGGCCATAGGATATCGAACTTGATCACGGTTGATCGGATGAAGTGACGGGTTTTGTCAGACTTCGGATGGTATATCATGTAAGTCGGTATGCGTTCTCTAAGCCAATTTAACTGAGCAGAATTAAAAGGTGCCTGACGTGTCGGGTTTTGATGATACCTGGCTGTCAGGTAATGGGCACACGCCAACCTATCTGGTATTAGATAAGTTTGATTGTGGGGGGTATGCGATGATTTGCTTACCTTCATGTCTACATATCAAGGATGCGATGCTGGGGTGCATGATATTGGTCGAAGAGGACATACTGCCTGTGAGTATTTGCAGGTAGGTATTTCTTATATGCACGGCAAGTTTAAATATACTTACAAGGATTCTCCAAGCTTCTTTCGGACTTTTGGAGAGTCGAGTCTTGGCTAACTGTAGCTGTTGGACGGGTTCATGTCTCGGGGACATTCAGCTAAGGGTGGGAGGGTCGAACGAACTCATCTTGTTCCCTCCGTCAGCAATAGCGTATTGTTGCGCCTTTGTACAGGCGAAATCACCACTGATGGTCGCACCCAAGTCCACACTCACTATGTTCCTGCTCCTTCCGTCTTCGCCTTTAACTCAGATGTCGACTCCAATGAAGGCATGCTCTTTGGCAGCGACTGGGATGAATGCCCCCCGGAAGAGGACGGGCCGCAGGATCTCATTGCGTGTGACAAATGCAAATGCACTGCTGCGGTGAGTATCGTCGGCCTACAATTATCACACAAACTAAACATCATGTATCAGGATACACCATTGCTAGCGTGGATCCCCGAGTGTCAGGCCTTCCTGGATGAAACCTTGCACCTTGAAGGTCGTGGAAATGCAGGGATCTCATGTCGTTGTGGTCTTGCTGCACCCCTTTTCAGATGTCATGATTGCTTCAGCACACAAATGTTTTGCCAAGAGTGCGTGCTTCAAAGTCACACGAATAATCCTTTGCACAGGATTGACGTACGTACACGTTTTTATTTGCTAATATTAAAGACTGACAGGTCCCTATAAGATGTGGAACAACTTATTTTTCCAGCGCAGCACCCTGAAACAAATGGGTCTTTGTGTGCAGCTAGGACACGAGCCAGGCGAGAGGTGCTACAACCCTCATCCCTCGGCTGGTGATGACTTCATTGTCATCGACGTCCATGGCATGCATGAGATCGCACTGGACTTTTGTGGCTGCGCAAGCGCTCAAATCCGCTACAAGCAGTTACTTTGCGCACAATGGTATCCAGCAACTACGTCAGATCCTCGGACTGCTGCAACCTTTACTCTACTGGAGCACTTCTACATCCTGTCTTTCGAGAGCAAGGTGTCAGCGTATGAGTTTTACCATTCCCTAGCGAGACAAAACAACAACGCGGGCCTGTCACACATACGTGTAAGTAGCCAGAATGTATCAGTACTGCGAGTTACTGACATGAGACTTAGGATCGTTACTCCGCATTCATGCGTATGATTCACAAATGGCGACATCTCAGGCAGCTCCATCGTGCAGGGAGAGGCCACGATCCTGCTGGCGCCAAGGCCACGACTGCAGGTGAATTAGCCGTGCAGTGTCCGGCATGCCCCCATCCTGGCAAGAATATACCACAAGACTGGCAGAATGAGCCATTATTGGTTAGGTACGTAAAAAAAACAAATTCAGCGGCAATTACAACTGATGGGCTGATGTTATTTGTAATGTAGGTGGAAATACGCTCTATTCATTGCAATTGATGCCAACTTCCGGCTCAAACGCAAGGCAGTATCTTCGGATAATAGAGATCCTAGCCTGAACTCTGGGTGGGCTTATTTCGTCGAGGAGGCGGCATACAAGTCATATTTGGCTGATCAAGCTGGTGCAAAGCAAGATGTAAGTAATATTGTGACATGCAACATTTGACTAATAGTATCCCAGTGCAGTACATGTGTTAGTCATAATGCCGTCAATATGGCAGACACAAAGTCTTCGCATGGCTTGGCGGCAACAGGTGTTGGCGCAGTCGATTGCGCCAGGCATGACATGAAACTTGTGAATGGTGTCGGTGACTTACAGAAAGGCAAAAAGTATGTTCAATTTTTATCTAATGTCATGAGCATCGCTGATAAATGGGATATATAGATACATTAACATGGACTACCTCGTGTTCTCGGCACTCCTGGCCTTCACGGTAACCATGATCAATATTTCTTACGACATCGCATGTCAGTGGCATAAAAAACTTTGGACGCGTATGGAAGCCATGCCGCCGAGGTTACACATTTCTCATACTTCCATGACCGTCCGGTTTTTTGTTCCCAAATTCCATCTGAAAGCGCACATTGACCAATGTCAATGAAAAATTCTCCTTCAATTGGTCAAAACATGTGGGACGAATCGATGGTGAGGCTCCTGAGCGCAGATGGTCCAATATAAACCGGGTCGCGACGAGCACAAAGGAGATGGGTCCAGGATCGCGTCATGATACACTCGATGATCACTTTGGGGATTGGAACTGGAAGAAAGTGATGGTGCTAGGTCTGTATTGTTTATCTGCTGGAATATTTTGGGCTTATTCGTTAATAGGCCAGACTCTCTTGCGCAAGATCAGTGACACTGTTAAGTGGAAGAAGGAGCATGGGGAAGGACTGGCTGAACTAGAGAGGACCATTCAGCCTACACTCATCCTTCAGTGGAGGACAGAAGTTGAGGCTTGGGAGGAGGACGGCTCTCAACCTAATCCGTTTGAGAGCCGATATGCTCATGAGTAATGGTATTCCAGCTATCACACAAGCCGCAGTTCATCTACAGCTCGCTGAGCTTGAAGCCCACGAACTTCAGGCTGGGACCAACGTCTCCCTACATACCGACATTTCTCCAAGTAGATTAATCACCACCGGCATTGATCTCCAAGACCAACAGTGAGTTTTTCTGTCCAACAAAGCAAGTTCACCGCAATAACGAAGAATCCAACAAGACAGCGCTTGAAGACTGATATGGCCAATGCATCTCTTCACCCCATGGACAAGCAGAAGACTACTATGCAGACACGTGTCACTGCCCTTCAACGTCAGCTGGATGCTTGGGCTCGTGTCCAGGAGTTATACATGCCCATCGTGTCCCAGTTTCATCAACGATCTTCAGAAGCTGGCGTGATGAATACGATGCCACTCAAGCCTGAGAGCTTTAAGCTGTGGCTCCCGTCTGAGCTCCAACCCACAGTATCATGTGACAAGAAGCTGGCTGCACACAAATGGGACCTACGGCACACACAGGCACTGGATGCTCTCAACGAGGTCCGTTCACATCTCCGGCTTCGGTCTCATATGTATATCTATAAAGATTGAAATGTGCGCGGTCAGGTGGCTTCTACCCGTGCACAGGCCCTCATCGAAGGCGTGGAGATGAGAAAACGGGCTAGTGTTGACAAGTATCGACGTGCACGTAACGCTCTGTTAGCTCTCGGCTATCAACTCGATAAGTCGGGCTGGGACATTTCCCTTCCGCCACTCTTGGATTCAGATGTGAGGCCTATGGGTGATATGGAGAGACAAGGGACTGGTACCATCTCTTGGATCTGGCTAGACTCACATGTGGACAATAGCAGCTCAGAGAATGAGCGAGTTCAGGATTGTGGGTCTACTAACTCTAGTTTGATATGGTATACTGATGACATCTCATAGGTGTTCGAGTAGAGTGGTGCAAAGTGTGCGCATGCGCAAACCGTTGGTCGGAAGAAGTCGAACTTCTCCTCGAGGAGATGCGGAGAGTTATAGTCTTCTTGAAGTGGCAGGCGGAGTGGTGGGGTGGAAAGCATAGCTCTCGAGCCTCGGAGTCAGCAGCTGAACAAGAAGGGCTGGCTGCATATGCATGTCGACAGGCTATGCTGTGTCTATCCCTTGTCGCATCCTTTCAGGCCCTATGGAAAGATGTACCGAAGTTCGTAAGCGCCACCTTGGAGATCCCACTGGACAGTGAGGATGAACCTACCATCGACGCGCAGCCCCAGTTGTATAACTGATACATCACTCATGTACTTAACACTAGGCGTTAATATATTTATATCTTGCACTAAACATAGCTTGATCACTAGGAACGAGATCAGGATGACCAGGTACTGATGACTTAGGTATCTGTAAGATCAAGAATGCCAGGTACCAACAACATACGAGATCTGTAAGATTGAGAATCCCTTGCTTCATATTCTATGCTCAGCCTATTGGGGGACTGTACAGCCCAGTACATTGATGTATCACAGGTCCTACAGCGCAGAGTGATTCTTGTATTACCCTTAACTACATGTGTGAGTACTTGATACATCACTCCCCCAGCTACTTGTGGATGATGACTCAGCTGACGGTAGATCCCCACAAAAGAGACCCAGAAGAGCGGAAGGTTCTTCGTCAGCACCAGAAGGGACAACAATCCCCCGTGCAATTCCAAAGCCTCGCCCGGTCAAGCTGGCAACAAGTGGTGGATTGCTGACATTGCGAATGGGTGACCTCTTGGCCGGGTTAACCAACGGCAACACTGGTGCAGTTAAAGAGGATGTTGCAATGGAAGGGAGGAACATGCTGCCAGCGCCGAAAAGGATGCGGGGAAATAAAGCGGTGATTGAGCCATCGGCGAGGACCACCCGGAGTGAGTCAATGCAAAAGCCATTAGACAAGTCTCCTCGAGTGACTAGAGCGAGGAGAAGGAAGTAATGCACTTATCCCACACTGTCTGCCTTTATGTACATTTCAATCTTATGCAATCGGTGTTCGGTGTTCGGTGATTGATGCTCGGGTCTCGGAACAAGTACCTGGTAATCTATCCTCGGGACTCGGTGATCCTGAGTACAGTGAGAATTGAACTTCGGTTTTTGATGCTCGGGATTTGTTGATGCTTGGTAAATCAATTGGAAATGAGAGGGTGATATATCCAAAATTCGGTAGTTTACATGTGATTTGTCTACTATCAGATATTTGATAATGTACATTTAAAGTTGATCTTCAAACCTATCAATGAGGGAATCTACAACCTTGAGCATTTTGGAGGTCAATCATTCAGCTCTTTGCAGCTGCCAGAGGTCAGCATCAGCTCTTCTGAGTTTGTCAGATGTTTCTGCCCAAGCGGTTCAGAATGGTCTCTCAGCCTCGAGTAGTTGTTGTATGTATGGGTCAGGAAGATTTCCATGTTGGTGTCTGTAATCATCGAGCCGATCTTGAATTGATTGCACTAAGAGAAAAATTAGCAAAAAGATCAATAATCTATATGAGATACTCACATCCTGTGTGATGGTAAGATCCAAATGGCCAGAACTCCAGAACCATGGAAAGCAAATCTGCATTTGTGACATCCGACTGTGCTGAATGATGTTCAGCAGACTGTGCATTCGCTTGGGAGATGAATTAAGTAGGGAAGACTGGATGGTATAAAGTCACTTACATGGTATGGATACGTCCGGCGCACCCGAAGCATTACTATCACTATCAGCACACTCCAGCTTCACATCACAGTTGATCAGGTTGAGCCGGTGTAGATGAGGAATGTAAAGGGTAGGTAAATAGGTAGTATGAGATAAACTCAGATGGTCCTCTGTGCGCGAGCTAATGTCGGCCCAAGGGGATTGCTACTGAGAAGGTTCCTCTAAGTGTATAATTGGAGGGAAACACTGAACTGGGCGCTTAGTCAAGCCTGGTAAGGCGTGCGACGATGAGCGAAGCGCAAATGTGTGGAAGCGCTAATAAGCGCTTATCAAGCGACAAGGTGCGATGGCGCACGTATGGGTGGAGCGGAGCGACTCTTTTAACAAGCCGGAGGACAAGTAACAGAGGTTCTAGAAGGGCGCGATGACTAGCGCTCAAGTATTCTTAGATATTCTGATAGTGTTTGGTGGCTATAGCGGAGAATTAGACTTAAAGTCCAATGATGTGCAGGAAGAAAGATGCCATTTTCTACAATGAGATGCAGATATATATATTCTAACTATGAAGCATTTAAGCACTGTCAAGCACTAAAGCGAACTGAGAAGCGAAGTGAATATGTGATAACATGTAATAAGGGTCTATAACATACGGAATATATGCGCAAGTGCCGGAGATATGTCAGAACATGAGAAAACAGATAGGAATATGCACCGATGAACCAAACAGACATGGAATGGATGGACGGAGGACGGGGGACAGGGGACGGAACTGAAGATGCACGACCGAAGCGCTCGTGTGTGCAAGCAGCCGATGGAGCACTGAGAGCGCGCTAGCGATATATGTGTCGCGCTGTATTCGGAAGGTGATTAGGACATTGGGAATTTAGACCTCTACAAGGCCACAGAGATATTAGTCTCTACACCAGAAGTGATTGATCTATAAGATCTTTTTGAACATGGATGGTTATATTTTTTTTATTTCAATCAATAAACTTACTGGGAATTTCAGGCATGAGATTATCCTCAGGCCTGAGGTACAGGTCCGGGTAAATGGGGAGACCTGGTTGATCAGCGTGACCCGGAGGTGATTGATCTGTAAGATTTGAGTGAACATGGATGGTTAGGTTTTTTGTTACTTCAATTGAAAAACTTACCGGGGATGAAAGACAAGACATCCGGACCACTGGATGACACAGGATATGAGTCTGTGTCATCATCCGGCCCAAGGTATAATTGATCTAAGGCATGTCCGGTAAATAGATAGGATATAATAGAAGTAGAACATACCTGTTGATATCTGGAACTCAGTTGAGTCATCCACATCCATTGAGTCATATTGAGTAACCGGAGGCTCATTAAATCTAACTGTTGCAGGAGAGCCCATGTTTTGTGAGGAACTGATTAACTGATTCACTGATTATTGATAACTTTGAAGTTGAACACAAGGGGCTGGCAATTGCCGAAAGTTGAACCATGACCAAACAAAGACAAACAATCAATGAGTTTTTAGATGGTCAATCACTGATCTTGTTTCTACTGAAACATCATCCTTGTGATAACTGATTTCAACCTGATTTCAATCTGATTTCAACTCTTTCAACTTTCTCAACTCAATTACCATGTCTACTCCAGTTGACACCTCTTTGACCGGCCTCAAGGCAATCACTGCCCAAATAATGGCCATTGTCACTGGTGCTCGGCAGCTTCCTCCAGGCTCCAGCCACTATTCTCTGACATCACAGGTCAGTGAACTTGTGGTATGTAGCATTGTCTTTTTTTCTTTCCTTTGTTTTTGTCCAACATCCAGGTAGTCTAGGACTGTCCGGGAGTATGGGAATGGACCCTACATTCCTGGCCTCGTGCTATTGTGCTCAAAGGAGTTACTTCGAGTTAGGGGCATGACTCCCCAGGTTTGGCCCAACTGGCACAGCATCGGGTACGACGATCCCCGCTTGTTGAAGCATGCCTGGTACAGCAAGATTGTCGCCTGGGAGGCATTAGGTGACCACACATTCGATCTCCCGGTCGCTCCTGGTCCTTCGGTAGGTTCAATTCCAGTTGACCTTCCCTCGCCACCTATTGTTGCCGGCAATGTTGCCGGGTCTTCCAGCAAGGCTACCTCCGAGTCCCGGGAGAAGGGAAAAGGTAAGGCGGTTGTTGCCAACCCGGTGTAGAGACTCATGCCTCACATTGTGTGATATGGCAGTTTTCACTAGGGAGTACATGGCACGAACTTGTAGCATCACTCTGCATGCTATCTGCAGCTATTCCAATATGAGGCGCAGCTTTCCCGTGCAACGCGCAACATGTGCGCACACTTCCTGTGCTTCACGATGTATATGCACACGCGCTTTCCCGCGCTTGAGCGCCCTATAGCGCCAGCCATCCAGACGCATCCATCCACTGTCCACCAAGTTCTCTAGTGCGTATATTTCCATTTCTCTCATTTGCATATCGTTCCACCTTTATTTTTATTATGGACCCTTACTTACATATATCTTTACATACCTTACTCGGTAGCGCTTTGGCTCCGCATGACACCGCTTAGGTGCCATACATAAGTGCCAGTAGTACATACCAGAGAGTAGTTGAGCAACCCCCATGTTCATACCACACAACTCAGTTTAGTTGGAATCTCTCCCTAGAAAGTAGCACTTACATTCCATATCTCTATATATGCTGTAGAGACTCGCGCCTCTCAATGCCGGACATACGGCCCTATGAACCACATATTCCTTACATATTCCAGCTCTTATCCGAAGGATCAGTCATACACGCTTCCGCGCGCGCACCCTACGTACGCGCCTCATTCGCGCACCTTATATGCACTTGCGCGCTTCTGCACGCGTCCGTGCGCCTCCCCTTGGGTCTTCTCGTGCCTACCTGTCCATCTGTCCGTCCTAAGTCCTCACTGATTTACTGGTGCATTATTCTTATCTCTTTCACTGAATTGACGTGCACTCGGTCCGATCCCCGTGCTTACATACAGAAAGTCTATCTTAGACTTTAGATTATATTTAGAGTTGATATGGTTACTCGGTTCGGTACCGCGCTCGGAAGTGCCGCATAGCGCTATCTCCCTTCTTAAATAGAGGGAAGTTCTTTTTACTTCGGTTACTACTTTCCCCCCCATTTATCTCAGTATACTGCAAGTTGTATAGTGCACCTTAGTACTTGAAATCAGATTATACTTCTCCATCTGCTACAGCTCGTGCCTCTACTATACTTGAAACCACATCCCTTATCACTCATAAGTGCGCTTCCGCATACGTGCGCGCCCCTCGCATCTCGCGCTGTCTTGTTACTTAAGGGTCTTATATAAAAGTTGTGTATAATGACAACACAATTATACACAGGGAAGACTTCTTGCCAGTCCTTAAGTCCACGCTCTCCGACTTTTCTACTTCGTGGGAGGTAACATGGTGAGTTCTTGGGAGGATTTAGTTTGTTGTCCTCTCCTTGTGAAGTCTGATATGAAGTTTTGTGGAATGTTCTGTGTTCTGGATAAATTCGTTAGGTTTGTTTCAGCCTAGTAGGTCGTGTTTCAACCTATGAAAGTCTGTTTCAACTTTGTTGTCCTTAGATATGTGTCTCACTTTCCATTGAAAGAGAGAGTCTTATGTATACACGTAAAGCTTAGAATGAGAGCTGTTCAATGGTTATATAGTCAACCCCTGTAAGGTAGTGTATAACCTAGAGTAGAATAACAATAACAAAAGTTATATAGTCAACCCCTGTAAGGTAGTATATAACTTTAGAATAGAATAACGATGTGTCTTAGTCTTACTTCAAGGCATGTTGCCTGCACTTTTATTCTTACGTACTCTCACATGGTTTGAGAGAAGAATGAAAAATGGGAAGTTATATTTCATGGGTGAAAATGGGGTCCTTTTATACCTTTTGGAATCCCCTTACTAAGCATGATTCTGTCAGATGGATTGGTAAGAATGTGGCTTACAAACCAGGTGATGAATCAGCTTTTACTAATATACATTATAAATACTGTGTAATCTTACAAAGAAATTACAAAGTGTGACAGAAAGGTGCTGACTCTTCTCAGGGATTGGTCATGCAGAAGCTGACAAACCAAGCCTTTTGGGTGAGCTGAATCATCCTTCTTACTAAGTACATTACAAACAAAGTTCAGTGTCTTACAAAGAACTTACAAAGCATGATCAACCATGACTGAACATGTTGAGTCATGTTTAAATGTTGTTACAAAGCATGACCAATCATGACTAAACATGTTGAATCAGCTTTAATAATGTTACAAACCAGATTATTTCCCAGTCACATGATGTGATGACAAATAAAATCTGGTGGCTGAAAGAAGCCAAATAAAAGTAAACAGTCAGACATAAACAAAGAGATACAAAACTTTGACAAACAAATCTGTGGCTGAAAGAAGCCAAATAAAAATAAATAATGAGAAATAAACAGAAGGTCACATGCTCATAAAATACAAGGTAAAATAAGTCTAAGAAATAAAATACAAAACAATGAAATAAAGGAAAAATAGAGAGGTAACTCAGTGACAGAGGGCTAGACAGTCTCTCATATCTTCCTTATCACTCTCTATATATATCTGACATGGTATGAATCACATACCATGCATGACAGCGCGCCCTCGCATCGCTCACGCGCGCCTCACGCGCGCCTTCGTGCACGTTATCTTCTCACGCCTACCAGCGCCCGTCTAGTTGACAGAGTTTCCCTCCACCTTATTCACGAGGAACTTCTCTCAGTAGCTGTCCTTTGGGTCGAGTTGTATTCTCGTATCCAGGTCTTGCTGTAGAGCCCCCTTCTTTTAGTGTTTTCACCCACAGTCAAGATTCCTCACCTTCAACACGCACGTACTTTCCCGTGCCTTCGCGCCTCGCGCGCGCCTGCGCTTTCCCACGCTTCGAATCAGCCAACCAGTAGCGCCTTCAGCGCCTACTACTAGATCTTTGCTGCACTCGCTTCCCCTTTAGGGTCGAATGCACTTGTCGTGTCAAGTATAGCAGACTAGGCAATGCACGACCTTACAACATTTATAGATACAGTCAGGAGCCTCATTTGTGCCTTGCTGTATCGTTGAACCTTCACCGGAGCCGGAAGCGGATGGAAATAGGAAGAGGAAATCGCCCATGATTCTGGCACTTCCCTCGCAACTGCCGAAGTCAGCGATGAAGACTCGCAAGCAGGCGAAGACAACTCGCCTTGCTAAGTCGAAGGAGTTCGTTGAGTCCAAAGATGATGATGACTCACTTACTCAGGTATGTTGTCTGGTTCTTTTTTTCATTGTCTCATTTGGTTTGTAGCCAGTTTCGGGTGGGGTTCCAATGGTCATCCTTCCCCAGCTCTCCGCATGTGTTGCAAGGACATCCGGATCGCCTCGTTCACCCAGGGCCCCAAAGAAGAAACCTTTCGGGCCTGCTATGGTAAGTCGAATGTATATGTCTGGAACTCAGGTGTATGCTTACAATGTATCAGGCAATTTCTGGCAAGCTTCCGGAGGTCATTAGGCCCCCTCAACCAACTCCGGCCACCCTGGCAGTGGCGCCACCAGTCATTGACACAAGTGACATTCTCATTCCCGGACCCATGAGTACTTTGATTGAAGGTTGTGTGTCTATGAACTAACGGAACCCACAGAACAACCCTTGCCAGGCTTGCCACAAGATGGAATGGCCCTGCGCAACTCGGTTGGACAAGAGGACCGGCAACCCCTGTATGTCCTGTGTCTATTGCACCACCAAGAAGATCAAATGTATCTCAGTGAGTCTGGGACCACCGCCGAAATGCTCTCGAGGTCAGTCTGCCACCAGGACCACCCAGAGGACCAGGTCCAAAACTCCTTCCAAAGCTCCCTCCAAAGCTTCGCCCACCTCACAATCCACAGGCCAAACTCGTAGTCAATCTCGTGGCCCTTCCGGCACTCCCGGTGAAGGTACAACAATTCAGAGAGTGAGTCTGAACAATGTTGGGTCTTGCAGAACCTAGCTGCTATTCGACCCTAAAGGGTTTCTGGACCAGGCTCAAGGCTCAGAGGAGAGGAAATATCATGAAAAACTACTGAAGACCCTGACTCCTACTGGTAACTGGTGAAAAGATAACTTGCTTATGTAAGCTACAAAAGTGCCAACATAAGGTAAGGTAAAAACAGTCTCTACAAGCCCAGCCAGAAATGAATCTCTACACCGGTCTGTCTGCTGTGAAAACACCCAAGGTGCAGACACGGGGTCGCAGCAAGACCGTTACTGCCATCAAGGCACCTACACCTGCACCAGCTCGTATGTCACCCGAATTTTCTATGACCATTTGACCTCATTTTCCACTTGTAGGAGTTGCACCATTGACCTCCGGAGTTTCTCGTTCGGCACTCGATGTGCCCATGCCTGATCTCCACGCCATGGCAATGGCTATTCAGGATGGTGCAGCTCGAGTCACAATTCTTGAGGCTCGTGTGGCAGAGCAGGATGGTAAGATTGACACCCTGCAATGCCTCCATGAAGGCCTTCGACGAGAAATCATCCTCCGGTGTAGAAACAACAATACTGTGAGGAACAAATGATGCTCCAGACTGTATCTGTAAATGTTGTGAGGTCGCGCGTTGCCTAGTCTGCTATACTTGAGACGACAAGTGCGTTCGACCCTAAAGGGGAAGCGAGTGCAGCAAGGATCTAGTAGTGCGCGCCGAAGGCGCTACTGGTCGGCTGATGCGAAGCGCGAGAAAGTGCGCAGGTGCGCACAAGGCGCGGGAAAGCGAAGGTACGCGCGAGGCGCGGGAAGCGCGCGCGTGTGAGCGGTAATGAGAGAGAGTAAGAGTGAGTTTGCTTAAGGGGTGATTAGATACTAGACAAGAGATACGAGCGCGAGGTGTCAAAGAATAGATTTCTACTATGTTCTCCTAGGTAGTATGTGGGTGGTAAGTGGGAGGTAAAGTTCTTGTTGGAAAGTAAAGTGTCTAATAATATGTACTGCTGGCGCTTATATGGCGCCTAAGCGCTGTCATGCGGAGCCGAAGCGCTACCGAGTAGGTATGTAAAGATATATGTAAGTAAGGGTCCATGGTAAAAATAGAGGTGGAACGATATGTAAATAAGAGAAATGGGAATATACGCACTAGAGAGCTTGGTGGACAGTGGATGGATGCTTCTGGATGGCTGGCGCTATAGGGCGCTCAAGCGCGGGAAAGCGCGCGCGCGTATACATCGTAAAGCACGGGAAGTCGTGCGCGCATGCTGCGCATTGCGTGGGAAAGCTGCGCCTTGTAAGGGAATAGCTGTGGATAGCACACAGAGTGATGCTGCAAGTCGTGCTGTGTACTCCCTAGTGGAAAGTGCCATATCACACAATGCGAGGCACGAGTCTCTACACCGGCACCCATCATTTCCACTTTCGGACCCCCCTGCCAATGCAACATCTTTGTTGCTTCATCAACCCGTCCCCCCTTCCATGTCACCCCCCGAATCAGCACTTCCTCCTCTCATCAATCTGTCAATGGCAGGGATGGAGCTCACACCCCTGAAACTCGAGGATCCTTCTGCCATCGAGGGTCTGATGTTTGAGCCTGGCCAATTAGAACCGGAGGGTCCACAGATGTCTGGCGAGGGTGTCATGTTTGAGCCCAGCCAAGTTGAACCTGAGGGTCCACAGATGTCCGGCGAGGGTGTCATGTTTGAGCCCAGCCAAGTTGAACCTGATGGTCCACAGATGTCCGGCGACATTGTGGACCCAGATGATCCTGGCAACCTTGTCCCAGAATACAATTCTGTGGATGAAATGGATATTGAGGTGAAGGGTGAAGGTTCTGGTGAGGAGGTAGACATGGCTACACAATTCCATAGTGATAGATGTACATGCAATTTTTTCAATGAATGTTACCTTTGCTACAACTGACATATCGAATCGCCAAGTTCCGAGTTCTGAGTCCTGAAGCCCGAACTCCGAATCCCAGTGTGCAACATATTTTGTTTTCTATCACAAATCACTGGGTGTCAAAATTGGAACACCCGAAGCTCCAGATTGGAGACTCAAAACTCGCAAAAAATGTGAAATTTCTATTTCCTTGGACATTTCGCCGAGTTCCAAGTTCCAAGTGCTGAGTGCCGGATGCCAAGTTCCGAGTGCTGAAGCTCGAAACTTGAAATCAGTGGAAAACGATGTAGGAATACAACACAGAGTGGGGCTATACAAAGATGGCTCCAAACTGATATCTTTATGTTGTGGTCTTGCACTGCCTAGTCTGCTATACTTGGTGAGACAAGTGCGTTCGACCCAGGGGTCTGTGGTCTGGGAATAGTTTTGGGGGTCAGTGAGTGAAGTGGGGTCAATAGTCCGAGCGCGGGAAACAATGTCCGAAGCTATAATTACGATGTCCGATGCAAAAGTGTCAGGTCTGATGTTTTCGGGGTTTCGGGTTATTGGGTTCGGGTTCAGGGTATCGGAAACTAATAGTAACGCTATAGCAAGCGTCGGGAAAGCGAGCGGTGTGTGCAATAATAACAATGACTGATACGGGCGGTGAAGGAACGATGATATTCACAATGTCAACTAAGAACTACGAAATATCAGGTTTGACCCCTAAGCGTCGGAGAACGGCTCTCCTCTACTTGGATGATAATGATGCTATGGGGAGTCCAATATTTATGTAGATACGTAGAAGTCCGGAACCATATAGGCGAAAGTAGTAGCACAATATTTTCGGGTCCAATGTCCTATGTAATAAGACATGAGGTGCTGCGGACATGTAATAATGTGGTCTACAATGTTAGCGATGGGAAAATAGATAACTGCGCACCTAGTGGGGCTATGTCATATCCCGCGTTCTGGACCCGGACTTATCACACACCTCATTTCCGGATGTCCGGATCCGGCCGACGTCTATCTATGTCTGGATCCGACCCGCATCTAACTTCTGTGCCTTATCCCTTTGTACGTTCCTACTCCAGTTAGACTATATCATTTTCTGTACCTCATTTCATTTCCACCTTTATTTTCCGATAGACTAGTGTTTGACTTTTCTATACCCTCCGTCCACAGCCTCGCATAGCTTCGGACTGCACTGGCTTACTCTCCGTTAAATCCTCAGTAGTATATAAACCCTGTAGAATCTATGTACATCCTTAGTTCGAATATCATCTTAGACTCTGCTCATTCCCTCCTCCGTCCGACTTGAGTTTCTCTCTCGTCGACCTCTGCTCGTCTTAGGATTGATTCCTATAGACTTATCATCTCCGCCTCTACCTCTGGTAGTCCTCCACTGTTTCCTTTCTAGTTCAGACTTCGTCCGGATTAGTCTTATCTCTTGTTCCCGAACGTCCGCCGGAATTCCCACGCATCGGACATCGGACTCCGGACATTGCCCGACACCCTCCGGACATCGTCCAGTAACCTTCGGACATTGTTCAACAGCCTTTGGAAGTTAAGGGCATGTACTCGGGTAAGGGGCGCAGCGCACGAGCTGAAGCCAAGCCCTTCAGATTCGACCCTTGAGCACGTTCTTAACAGGCTAGCACAATGAGACAGGACATAGGTAGGACGAGTACATGCAAAGTCCGATAGTCCAATGTCCAAAGTGCAATGTCCAATGTCCAAAGTGTGATGTCCAATGTCCAATGTCCAATGTTTCTTCGGGTTTGGTGCATATTGAGTCGGATATGATAGGGAATGATTCAGGTAATGATTAGCATTGATACATGCATCAGAATTTAGACCTCTACGAGGCCACAGAGATGTCAGTCTCTACAATGAAATCTCGCAACAATGTACACATGAAAATGTTTTATTTCCTTTGACAATTCACTGAGTGTCTTGTACTAACCTGACAACCCACACGATGGACCAGTGTGCACTCAATGTTGATGGATCACTCAAAGAAGCCTGCAATATACAATGGGTACATTCACCTACACAAAATACTGCTTCCTTACCCCCAGTTTATTCTCCATCACTATCACCGACATTACCTAATGAATCTACTACCTTCACATTTAGTACCCAACTGACTCCAGCAACCTTTGGGAACACACAGAAATGCAAGGCAGATAACGCTAAATCCACAATTTCCAAGTCCAAAGGCTCGAGCACTCGCCAGAATAGGAAAGATGCACCCATTCCAAAGGTAACCAAACCTTCGAAGCCAGTGCCGATAGAACGGGTTAAAGCCTTGCAATCTCAAGGCTTGACATCTAACACTAGTACTGCAGGTGAAGAGTCAGATGAGAAGGAGGATGAACCTACTCAGAAAAAGAGACATAAAAAAGGGATGGCACTGCTGATATTTTGACCATGTTCAAACCTGTTGACTCCCATAATCTGGTAGAAGTCTATGTGTGCCAGGTTTGCGAGTGAGTGATAGGAAATTATATTTGTGTATTTCAGCTTACCCTGGTGATTTCAGTGATAAGAAAAAGAGCAATCCAAGTAAATATGGGAAGTTGCAGACAGTGTTCAAGGGTAATAATAGCACGATGTGCACACATGTTTGCTGGATGGGTATGGATTACTACAAAGTATACCGAGAGAGATGTATCATGGCAAAAATTGATATACATGAACATTGTATTCCACAAGAAGAATTGGATTGCTTGGAGGGTAAATCTGATGGCAATAAGCAGTGCATCAACCTGCCAAGTCTCTTCATTGACAAATGTGTTGCTGACCTTACACACATTCTACAGACAACAATCAATTCTCAGTTTCACTGAAACTGTCCAGAGGCTGGAGGAGTGGAGCAAAGAACAGCTTCATGAATGTATTATTCACTTCATCATCGAAACAGACCAGGTACATTTAGAACTCGAATATGTGGTGTTACTCAACATATTACATACAGGCCTTATCTATTGTCGACCATGATGCATTTTGGGAGCTTCTTCACTATAATGGATGCAGCAAGACGAAGATTTCAGACATCCCCCATCGCACAAAAGTCACTGAAGATGTCATAGAACATGCAGAGGCAATTCGAGCTGATCTTGCAAAAGAATTACAACACTGGAAGCATGAAAGACTTTTTCAGCAAGAAAAATATTGGAAAAATTGTAAAAAAGGTTTAAATGTTACGATAACATTCACTTCTAGCATTTCTTTTCTCATTACGTACTAAATGGGCTGTCCGTACCTTTCTCTTATCCAAGCGGGCTGTCCGCCCTATCTCTTATCTCTTTCCAAGCGGGCCGTCTGCCCTATCTTTCTTATCATGATAACACATTCACAAGCTCCGCTTGAACATTACCTATATAGACTGTACTATGCACGATTGTATTCCTTACTTTAATCTACTGGGTTTTACCTGGAACATTCCTTCAACAAGGTCTCCAACCTTGTTGTCTAAGAACTACGATTCTAAGAGAGTCAGCGACACTCGTCTTAGCCTAGATCCTTGATCCTCTCATTCGAGAGAAGACCCTCGTCTATCAGGCCCATCGCCGACTGTCCATCCGGACTTTGATAGCACGACCGATCCCAGTCGTAACAAAAGATTAAAGTCTTCATTACCTGAACCATTGCCATCCGCAACGCAACCGACACCACGACTTCGCTAACTCCGTTAATTGGAGCCTTGAACCTAGGGGCACTACCAAACATCCCGCCATTGAACAACATGACCACTAAAGTCAAAGACATAGAACTCAAGATCGGATCTCCTCCCAAATTTGATGGAGACAGAGAAGAATCTAAAAGATTTATGATGAAGTGCCACGCATACCTCGACATCAATGATAAGGTATACGATGAAGATAAGAAGAAGATCATCCTTGTATTGTCCTATATGACAAAAGGAAACACAGCAGCTTGGGCCGAAGACTTCATGGAAGCAGCCCTAGATCCCAAGAGGAAGGATACCTCTGGACAGCAGATCGGTTACGGAACATGGGTCGCATTCAAGAAAGACTTCGATGAAGCCTTTAAACCTATGGACCCCGCCAGAACTGCCATGATGAAAATCAGAGGATTGGAAATGAAGGGAGACCTTCACACCTACATCTCCAACTACCGACTCCTCGCGCATAGGGCAGGAATGTCCGAACAAGCCCCCCTCATCGAATTCTTCAGACAAGGTCTAGACTACGGACTACAGGATAGTCTTCACCGTACCGGCGAAAGTCTCGACGATTTCGACACCGTAGTCAACACCTGTATCAACCTCGATAACGCCTATCAGAGGTTGAAAGCTATCAAAAAGCGAGAAAGACCAAACCTTCAAAGGAAGAAGAACTTCGGAAACAAACATTATGTCCCCAGAAGAAACGACGATATGGAAGTCGATCGTATAAGCCGTCTATCTGACGCCAAGCTAAAGAAACACCTCAAAGAAGGAAGATGTTTCAAATGTCATCAAGTTGGACATTGCGCCAATGACACCTCCTTCCACCCGAGAGAGAGAGACCAGATCAGAAGAAACAAAGAGGATGAAAGCAGCGACGACGAAGTCGAAAGTCGCGCCTCCACCTCTAGAAAGACACCTATTAGGAGAAAGAAGGAGAAGGAAGACAAAGAAAAGGGGAGCGCCTCATCAAAGAGGAAAGCCCTGGTCAGAAGGAAAACTGCAAAGGTAGAAGAAGATGATGATGAGGATAGTGACTTCACCGAAGTAGAACACCGCTTTGTGGAATTGGATTTTTAAACAGGAAGACTGCCTCGACGTCAGTGCTTCCTACCCCTGTACGACTAATATGATCCATTGGAAATAGAAACGAATTAAGAATCCTTGCATCAATCTTTTCCAATAAACGTATGAAAACCGTCGAAACTTCTATGGTCATCGATTCCGGAGCATCCGGAACCTTTATAAGCAGTGCCTTCTGCAAAAGGCACAAAATACGAACACACAAACTCTCTCAAC